TTGTTTTTGAAAGAAGTCTCTTATGTTCACCAAGGCTGCATTTATTTGATCAAAAATACATAAAAAAAAAAAAAAAGTGAAATATTTCCATTTAAAATCAATGTTTTCTATTTTAGTATATATTTTAAAATGCAATTTATTCCTGTAATGGCAAAACTGAATTTTCAGCAGACAATGTTGAATACAGTTATGCTGTATAATATTTTTGTGGAAACCATGATACATTTTTTCCAGGATTCTTTGAAAAATAGAAATCTGTTGTAACATCATCAATGCCTTTACTGTCACTTTTGATAAATTCATTGTATCCTTGCTGATAAAAAAATATTTTTTTTTCAAAAACAAAATTTAACCTAAACTTTTAAATATTAGTATATATGAAATATCAGTACTATATCATATACTAACATTATATATAAAGTATTGGTATTATAAGTATCACTGATTAGACTGCTATTGAACGCATTGGGACTGTTTTAAAGAAATAAGACAGACCTATAATATCGACCATCATCTCGATTATCAGCCATAACATAAATACATAGCATAAATCTTCCAGAATTTCTGGGTCTGGGTGGTGATGGCGCAGTGGATAAGACACATTCCTTTGGTGTGAGAGACCCGGGTTCGAATCCACTGTGAGACATCAATGTGTCCCTGAGCAGGACACTTAACCCCTAGTTGCTCCAGAGGCGTGCGACCTCTGACATATATAGCAATTGTAAGTCGCTTTGGATAAAAGCGTCAGCTAAATGAATAAATGTAAATGTTCTATATTGGTGCATGCCTAATGAAAACACATCTATATAAATTCAAGCTGTTTACAATGACAACAATGTTTCCACATCAATACCCCCTGATCTCTGAAGTTGAACACTCTTTACGCTTCACCTTGACTGGCTAATTTGCAGGATCCTTAAAAAAAATATTCTGCAGCCAAATACAGAACTGCCAGGGAGGAGAAATGGAGCAACACATTAAAAAAATGCAACTGCCTTTAAATTTAGCGGACAGCTGCTTCCTCACACTTGCCCAAATATCACGGTTTACAAAGGACATTCTGCCTTAACAACAGAGCCAAGCGAGGCAACGTAGCCCCTTTTAAGTGACCTAACCTTTTCGTAAAATGTCAAGGAAAGACTAATAATCCAGTATAGCAGACTGAAAAGAGCCAGAAACCTTTGCCATGCTTTTACTGGGTCATCTTATCAAAACAGCACCAGCTTATTGATCACGGTAGGCAGAACCAGGCAGACAGGAGGGCAGAGGCTGAGTGAGAGCTAACAGCATGTTGTGAAGTGATAATAAACACTTATGTTTTCCACTTCTTGGTTCAACTTGACGTTAACAGGTTGAGAAGCACCGAAGACTAAACTCTAAAATCATCTGTTAAGAATAGCCTGTCCTGGTGGGGACCTTTTCTCATTTGTTTTCATCTTTGCACCATGAAAAACAGGGGCTTAAAAGTTATATTCCAGGTCTCCGATAACAAAAAAAACAGCAATTTCAGAGGAAAACAATGTCCATTAATCTAAATTAGCAAAGACGACAACCCCAACCAAACATAAACATAGTTGTTTGTCATTACGCTGTGCCAAATAAAATGCAATTTACCACACACTCAGGTGCAATCTGCCCCGTACCTCGTGCCAACTGGAGTATGGCACTCATCTATGCTAAATGCATCTCGAAATATGCTGATGTCAGCTCAACACTTCCCACCGTCTGTCCTTGAGGGAGAGTCTCAGGGGAAGAACAGCCCTGATTGACGCATCTTGTGCTTAGTGAAATTATCTGTGATCAATTTGGCAGGGATCTGCACGTTCTCCATGGGGACCAGCGGCAGGCTACGGCAACCCTACCCATTTAGCTGATGAGACCAGTGTGACATGGCTTACCTGGGCTACAGTAAACATTTTCAAGCCCCATTCATTCAGATTTGCCCTCTTTGGATGACATTGATTTTTTCCGTTCTACATTTAGCACAGATTATGGGGTTAATGCATCGTTAATGACTTGAAAAACGGAAATGTAGCGCCTTCATCCCCTCTATTCATTCATTTATTCATTCGCTCATTAAGCTCTTCCTCTTCACATCTGTACCTGTTATAAATAAATCCATTTGTCACTTCAACCAAGTGCATCGGTTAAAGCTGAAGTGTGAAACCTCTGTGCCACTATAGTGGCAAATAAACGGAATTGCAATAACAATGGGTATATTCCCATCAGCCTGTAGTGCCCTGCGAGGAGGACTTCACAGGGTGTTCAGCTATCTTAAGTGAGAATCAGTCCAAGTGAACATCAATTCATCACTTCACAGAAAGTGGAGAGTTTGACTAAAATAAATGCAGTGGAATTAAGGTGTTTAATTAGTCCCAGTTTGCATGCAGTTATTCGAAGATGTAAAGTGTGCAGGATGCAAACATTTTTAATGCAACTATCATGGTCATGGGTTCCATAAGTTAATAGACTACATAATCAACATTTTGTAGTGAATACAAACTGAAAAGTCAGTAAAGTGAATACATTTTAAATAAATGTTTAAATAAACATTAAATAAATATTGTTCTTTTGAACTTTCTATTCATCAAAGAATATTAAAAAAAAAAAGTATTTGTATAAAATGTTTATTTCCATAAAAATGTATAACAGCACAACTGTTTTTAATTGTGATGATAATAGGAAATGTTTCTTGAGTACCAAAAAAACAGATTAGAATGATTTCGGGAGGATCATGTGACACTGAAGACTGCTGAAAAATTCAGCTTTGCCATCACAGAAATATATTAAAATAGAAAACAATCATTGTATAATTTACTATTTTAATATTTCACAGTATTACTGTTTTACTGTATTTTTGATCAGATATATGCAGCACTGATGCCCATAAGAGACTTATTTCAAAAACATTAAAAAGACTTTTGAACAGTGGTGTACATCTAATGTAACTAAATCAGATTTATTTTCTGACTATATTAATGAAAAAATAACAATTAAAATAATGTCTCTTTTCAAACAGCTTTCAAACTCCCCGTCTGCCATTGGTCAGACAAATAGCCTCGCCCTAAACTCATGTCACAGGTTGGGCTGATCGGGATGCTCAAACAACCTACAAATGGTTGACTCTGTATATTAAACTGGCTTATGAAAAACTAGGCCTATTTTAACCTAAAAACTTAACCTTGAACTTCCAACTCACTCAAGTTGTTCACCTTGCCCAAGAATGCCAAGTTTTATTGCATTCGATTTATTTGAAGGTAAGACCACGTCCCTTGGTCTGTGAACTTGGCAGGTCCACACAACTGAGAAAACATCCAGTTATTATTTAATTTTGAAATAACCCCGCTTCCCTCTCATTTAAAGCATCTTGCCGTCTAATATTAAACCTATACCCATAAGGCTAAAGTTTCTATAAATACTCGAGCACTCCCTGATGTGGAAAACAAAGGCGATGAATCACAGCTCATGTCTGTAATCTTGATTACATAAAACTCAATCGCTCTGCGACACGAGGCCACTGGTGATTTTAAGCATGTTGGCCAAGTTGTCAGTGGCAGTCTAGCCAAGCACTAATTAATCCTAATGCTACAGTTTGAATGACTCATTATACACCCAACAGCTTGTTTAAGCAGTCTCATTGATTAACAATAAGATGTACTCTCATTCACTCATTTTGTTAAACAAGGTGAAAATATTCCTGTCAAACTGATTAGCTAATGCACAGTAATCACACATGAAATTAAAGCTGAAGTGTGTACTTTCAGCCCTACGGCGAGAGCAAACAAATATGCAAAATTAGTGATTGTTTTCAAATAAACTTTACACTCCCTGCGTCTGCCGTTGTTCTGAAAAAAATGGTTAATTGATCAGTCTTACCTGAAAAAACAATGTAAAATCATTCGGAAGACTTTTAGAACAAGAAATGTCCCCCAATTGCTTGGTTTCAATAAAATAAATAGGCTTTTTGAACTGCACTTAAGTTCTGAAAGTGTTAATATGTTTCCATAGTACATTGAACTCTGATCTCAAAAGGCAAAGGACATTTTGATTCCTCATCACCTGAATGTTTTAATCTAGACATCAACATCTGTGTTCAGCCAAAAAGAAAGTCTCCAGCAGAACAACTCGGACTTTAACCATTCATTAAATATGTTGTTTTGTGCTGTCATCTTCTGGTACAATGGTGTAATTGCAGCAAAAATAAAATTCTTAACCTGTGTTTCACACTTCACAGACAAGGCTTAAACCAAGTCCCAGACTAAATGCATGTTTGAGCTGTTTCCACTGAAAGCAACTTGCACTGACATATCTTAAAATATATCATCGCCATAGTTTTGTCTCAAGGCCCGGTTTCACAGACAGGGCTTAGATTAAGCCAGGATTAGGCCTTGGTTCAATTAGGACATTTAAGTAGCTTTTATAAACGTGCCTTAGAAAAAAACATTACTGCTGTGCATCTTGAGACAAAACAATGGCAGTGACATATTTTAAGATATGTCAGTGCAAGTTGCTTTCCATTAAAACAGCTCAAACATGCATTTTTGTCAGGGACTAGGCTTAAACCTTGTCTGTGAAAACTGGGGCAAATGTCTTGGATGCAAAAGGTTATAGATAATGTAAACATTCCCGTTTCAAAATTTTTAATTTATATTTGATAGCATTTAAATTGAAATTAAGTGCCAAAATAGAGCCCCCTCCCCCATCTATACTCCCACCCTGTAAAACCCATAGTGACAAAGTTCAAGCAAACAGCTAAGCAGACTGTTGCTGAGAAGGGCTTTCCGTTGTTTATATGGCTGATCTATTTTTGATGCTCAAAAACAATTCTGCTGTTTAGAAGTGATAGTGCTAACAGGACAGGTAAATATTGAATCAATAGCATCTGAGATGGAGTTGACCTATAGGGAATTGGGAACATCAACCATAGGGCTACAAAAAAAAAGAAAAAAGAAAAGAAAAAGAAAGAAAAGGTGGTGAAAAGGGAAGAATACAGCTCTTACCCGCAGTTATAATCTGCACTGTCCATGGACGTTTGGCTATCAGCAGCTGATAAGATCTCCAAAGACCCGCCATGTGACAAAGTCTAAGAAAAACGCAAGACCACTGAAATTACTACAGTGAAAACAGCTGCAGAAATAGAAAAAATGCTGACAATTTAAAGCTATATTAGTATGTGGCTGGCCAGAGGGCTGGGCGATAAAACGATAACGATAATTATCGCGATATCATTTTTCTCGATAAAACGATATCAAGAGGTCGATAAATGTTCGATAATGTTTATGCGCCAAAAGCGAAACGAAACTCATTTGAACCGAGCTCACTAGAGCAGACCGGAGCAGACGCGTTTACTCTGATCGTCTCGCTCACGAGATCCAGTGAGAAGCGCTTAAGTTCAGCGAAGAACACAAATGTTTAAAGCAGGCACGGCGCCAGGATTCCAGGTTTGGATGGGCCAGACCAATTGTGGGTGGGCCTTAAATTAAAAACGTTATCCAATCACTGTTTAACCTAATAAAAATTACTGACTAATATATCTGTACGTAGGCTAGATTTTAATAGCTTGATGCTCTTTAAATATTTTGTTGCATTGTTACAAAGTTTCGGTGCATATGGAGTCAGGACGGACCTATCTGCGATCGCTCTCCTTGGTCCTGACTAAAGAAGAGTGCTTTGGAATCTCCATTACGCATCATACCTGGGCTGCGTTTCCCGATAGAAGAAAAAGCGGTGTTCTTTATAAAAGAAGCACTTCAGAAATAGTTGGAATTGCATTTATTAGGACTCATGGTATAGGCAGAGGCGCTGGCGCCCTCCTAGCAACGGCGCTGGTCGCGCTAGCAGCGATAGTCGTACTATAGCGGGTGGCAGAGACGAAGATGTGCTAGGTGATGTGGATCTCAGCTTTCCTTCATCTCCTGGTTGCAGCGATGACTCAGAGAATGTACGTGCGCGTTTAAGGTACCTAAACAACGACTGTTGCAACAGTGTCCTTTACTGGAAATTATTTTCACACTTTCACAAGCTAATGATAAGCGCTGAAGCTGCAATATTTCTGGAGACATGGAGTGGGTAAAACATTATTTTGACCACTTGAGTTTTGTTTTGTAGAAAGACATTTTTTTAAAAGATTTTCGTTTCGTATAAATTGTATCTTAATTTTGATCAAAGTTTTATCAACCAATAATAAATAAGAAGCAATATATAGCAGACAATGTAATAAGGCGCCGGCACGATCACTTGCATTGCACGACAACTGGAGCATGTTTCCGCCACAGAGTAAAAAAATAAAAAATGTAATTGCGATTTTTTAATCTTACAATTCTGACTTTTTATCTCAGAATTAGGCTACATGATAAAGTGGCAATTGCAGGTTAGCTATAAAGTCAGAATTGCGTGATATAGGCCTAAAGTCGCAACTGTATGTTATTAAGTCAAAATTGCTTGATATAAAGTGCGAGAAATATAGCTTGAAATTCTGACTTTTTTTCACAGAATTGCATGTTTATATCTCGCCATTCTGACTTTATAATACGCAATTGAGAGATATAAAGGCAGAATTGCATGATATAAAGTCGCAATTGCGTGTTACAAAGTCAGAATTGAATTGTGAGATATAAACTATTCTCGGGTAAAAAAAAAAAAGAAAAAGAAAAAGAAAAAAGCAATTGCGACTTTATTTCACGCAATTCTGACTTTATAACACGCAATCGCGGCTTTATTTCACGCAATTCTGAGTAATAAAGTCAGAATTTTGAGATGTAAACTCGCAATTGTGAGATAAAAAGTCGCAATTATCTTTTAAAATGTTTTATTCTATGGCGGAAACAAGCTTCCATAGTATAGGCTACTATAGCCTATATCCTGTCCTATTTAAGTAGCCTAATTAAATTAATATAAAGGGGCGATTTGCCCACTAATGGCTTAAATGAACAACTAGGGGGAAAAAATAGTCGGAGGCCTTATTCCACATATCTTGGAAGTTCGAGCCAGCAGGCCATTCTGGGTTGAGCGCGCGACCCTGCGGAATGAGTGAGCAGAGCGGAATATTCAGAAATGCGCTCTCTGCTCACATGCTCTGATCGGAACAAACCCGAACACTGTCTGCTGAACTTGTGCAGAAACATCAAAATAGACATAACCAGCTTTTTAAAATTGTTTTTAAAACTAAACATTTAGACTGTTTTAGCACAAATTATGTGCTTATTGGCGATTTTTTTAAATAATTATTGACAAAACATTTTTGAAGAAAAGTTTTGGGTGGGCCTGTTGAAAAGTGGGTGGGCCTAGGCCCGTCAGGCCCACCCATAACGCGGGTGGGCCTGTTGAAAAGTGGGTGGGCCTAGGCCCGTCAGGCCCACCCATAACGCCGTGCCTGGTTTAAAGGCAGATGAAACGAGCCCGATCTCATGAAAGTGCGTATCTATACCACGAATGTCATTTCTCGTGCCATTTATACGCCAAAAAAGTTTTTTGCGTCTATATGATACGCAGTTTTCGCGTGCATATGATACGCACTTTATGGCGTGTAATACGCACGCACTCCCCACCCCCCTCCCCCCTAAACCTACCCAAGGGGTTTTCAGTGCGTAGCATATGCACGCAAAAACCATTTTTGGCGTATAAATGGCACGAGAAATGACATTCGTGGTATAGATACGCACTTTCATGAGACTGTGTTGGATGAAACACCGCTGACAAACAGGAGAAACACTGCGCGCAACGATACAGTCAGAATCTGAATTGATACTGAATCCATTTAGCCTACCATGGATTTACTGTAAGGTTAGCCTAGTAACGTTAATATTAACTGCACCATGAAATGTGGTATATATACATATTGAGTTGTATAATATATATTATTAATGTAGACAATGTATTAAATGACTAATGGAATCTAATTATAGTATTTAATAATGTATTTAACTGTTAGGCTACTGTTTTTCATACAAATACCATAGAAACCATAAAGTTACATTTTGCCATGATAGTGAGGTGCTTAGGCTATGCCTGGTTTTATCTGTGGTTATCATGATCTAAATGCATGATACTGGATGACCAATGGTTAATTTTAATAAAACTCAAACAGCCAGAATATTACATTTTACCAAATTAAACAGATGTTACTGTTTTTGTTAATGAACATAAATTTAACAGAGTAGGCCTAGTATTAGCTTGAGTTAGGATGCAGATTTACTGTCAACTCACTGTCAAATATGCATTTCGAGACAAAACATGTAATTTGAATATTGCAGGCTGCACTGCAAACTGTGCTGAAGAAATATTTTTCTATTCAGATATTAATTTTGTTAAGGAAAAATGACAAATATTTGAATGTTTTACCTCAGATTTGTGAAATGTTCACCTGTTTGGCAAGTGTTTGTCATGATATGTTCTGACAATAAAGAGTTAAAACCACAATTAACGCTCTGGTTTATACAACTTTCACTTAGGAGCAAAAATCTGCCTTTAAACTTGAAAGAAATAAAGATTTGACATTTATCGTGATAATTATCGATTATCGACTGATATAAAAAAAACTATCGTGATAATTGTTTTGGGCCATATCGCCCAGCCCGGTCGTCATGTCATGACAAGTTATTTAGAGAAAAATATTAAAAAAATATATATATTTGTAAATTTATAAATCATAAAACAACTTTGGCCATTGAGATCAACATTCCTGCAGAGTTTATCTCCAACCACTTACAGTCATTCATTTGGAAATTGGACTACAATGTCGCGTTGTACATTTTTGATTCAATAAAAAGAATCGGCTCATAGTCATTTATTCGGACTAGACATTATCGATGTAAATTTAGTGCTGGGCTGCTGGCTTTGCTGTGCCGCTGAATAGTAGGAATGTAAGACGCATGTTCGAGAACTTTTAACGGAACCGGTTTCTGATTTTATAGTCGCGTTGCACCCGTAACGTTACAGTGAGGAAAGGCACGCGCTCTGGCTGATCAAAGGCGCGTGCCAAAAATCATGATGAATTTCCCAAACTTCAATACCAAACGATAATTTATGTTTTACTCAGTCGGTTAAGGGTAAATCTTTTTCTTACTTTAGTGACACATAAAACTAAGAATGTGCTATTAGTTGTACACGTGCGCGCGCACACACACACACACACACACACTATCAAGTAACCAATCTTTCGTAATTGTATTTAATACAACTCCAGCACAGACAGTTTTGACCGGTTCTGTGCGTTTATGTTAGAAGTTTAGTCCTACCTTGTCACGTAAACAGAAGTCGTACAATGAGTGTCCGAGATGTTGGCGTTGCTGAAATTAAAGCGGTAAGTTATGACTGCTGCTTTTAAAGACTAACGTTAAGTCAAAAGAGGACGGAAAGTGACTTCAGGTATGAAGATGTGGCTGCAGTTTAATAACACACGCTGAATTAATTCAGTCTTGTATCAGGACAACTTGATAAGTGGTTGATAATTCATTTTACACCATAGTCAACAGTTTAGCGTGATGCTTGAGCGTGCAGTCAGTGTGAAGCAAGCTAAAGGCTCAAACTAGGGCAACAAGATGTTTCAAAATAAAAGTCTAGTGACCATTGAACTAGAAATGGTTTTGTCTCTATATGATATCTATGGTTTTGTGTGCCGTTTTACAACACGTAGTTTAAAAGTCTTAAATTAGAATAAAGACCAAGTAAAAATATTTATGTACAGCAAAGAGTCCTTAAATTTTATTTTGAAAAAATAAAGAGCTACTATCAATAAAGACGGTTTATGGACAGGGCACACATTTGTCATGCAAACATTAAATACTTTTTTTTTTTTTTTTTTTTTAAAGAGAAAAAAAGAGCATTAGGCGGCACAAGATATTTTATTGCGCTTTTTATATAGACACAAAAAAGCACTGGAGGTCAGTTTGAAGCATGTAAACAGATAAACTAGTGTATTCATACAAGTACAACAAAATCATGAAGTACAGTACACATCTCTGGAGAGAGAAAAGGGGGGAAATATATATATTTCCTTATAACAATGTTGTCAATGTAGTGAAGTCTGAAATTCATTAATGATATTTGGTTATCCTTTATTTACAGTACAAGAATAACACATAACCAAGTCATAAAATCGCTGTATACAAAACCAAAAGGCAGGTCCAATTAAGAGACAAACACAACAAAAAATAAGATATTACATAGAGGGTCCTGAGACAAAGACGTCAATTTCAAGTACATTTTGTCAAGTGGGACCAAATAGACAAATTCATTTTTCATTAAATTAAATTTAAATAATGTTCTACACTCACCAATGGGTATAAGTGTGACAAATCTAAGTGCGACAAATCTAAGTGCATCAGAGGCTGCTGTATGTGCATATTGGCACTATTACTATAATCAGGCTTTAAAAAAAAGATGACATGTAACAGTGAAACTTCAGAAGCACATGTTTTGCTCTCTCTTGGTTTAATTGCTGCTAAAGATACCTCCAAGATACCTCTTCAATAATTCTCTCAACTTTTGATATTCCAAAGCAATCAGTCACTACCTCTTATCAATCAGGCGTGACAAGTAAACTGATGAAAAATAAATATACATCTACATTATCTTTAAAATTCAAGTAACAGAAAATGGCAGGAACAAACTATAACCCTGATTTTGTTCCCCTCTGTGACACTGTGGTGCTAAATACTAAAACCAAAGATGAGATGGAAATGACTAAAATTTAATTTCCTATTAATAAAACGTTTATTTTTATTTTTTATATTTCGTTAATATCCCACATTTTTACATCCACACAAACACCACCAAGTAGATATATTGATTGGCACTTCACATCTATATCGGTCTTCAAGACACCAATCAATTGGAAAAAAAAACAAAAGCAACAAAGTAGATTAAACAATACACGTATTGTTTATGAGTAGAATTGCAGCATTGTAGTAAACAATGATGTCCGAACCAAATCTTCAAATTTTCTACTTTGTCCATGGGCTACTATTCGAGGTAGTAACATTTCTGCACAGTTTTAGCAAAGCTTCTATATTAAAGGCAGGTTAAATTGAAGCTGAAAAAATGCGGGCATATGAACATTTCTTTCACTTAGGATAAGATGTCGATTTGGTCAAGCACTTCAAATGCACATGTATGCCATATATACATACAAAGGAAAGTCAAGACAACATGAAAACAGCTAACAAACATTGGTGAGTATGTGCTGCATTTGCAATCAATTATACATACTGTGTTCTACACAGTATTTACTGTATTCTCATACTACTGAAAAATAGTACAAGTAGTTTGGAAGTATGCCATTTCAAACAAACGGTGTTGTGTCCTTATTATTCATCTCCATCATTTCAGGTAGTAATGAAAATCTGCACATTGTGATGGTCATGTGGGCACTTTGAGGTAAGCTAATGAGCAGTAATCTCCCATGTTTGGGGGTCCGTTGATGCTTTGACCTGTATTGAGTATGGGCACACGTGTAGCACATAGTATTGCAAGAACCAGTAGCAAAAGACGGCTAAGGCTTATGCTAAAATAGGGCAGGGCATTGGGTCCACAATCATATGAGATAAGTGCTAAAAATGTTCCCTTCTCCAATGCATACAGACAGAGTTGCTCACATACACGTCTCGATGAAATTCAGTAGTCCATCCCATCATCGCTTTCATACCAGTCTGAAGGAGCATCCGTCCCAAAGTACCGGTCCCCAAAATTACCTGCAAAAACAATTGCTTTGGATTACAAGATACTGAATGATCCATTTGTCCCTTTGTTTTTGCCAATCAAAGAGCTCTTACCAATCCCTGGAATGATGTGAAACTCATCATTGACATTCTTGTCCACGGCAGTGGTGATGATGCGCACCTTGGGAAAGGCGTAGGCCACTGAGTGAACCCCCATCTCCGCCATGAGCAGAGAGAGCAGGAAGATCTTATGCTCCTGGACATCATGATCCTGTAACAGATGAGTTTGCAAATCACTCTTATTTAAACCAGTTACTGTGCTGATGTAGATTTCAAGGTCTGTAAAAACAACAACAAAAAACAACAAAAAAACAATACAAAAATATGTAAATAAATGAAAAATATAAAGTATATCTCTCAGCTAGAATGGTGTATTTTATGCATATATATATATATATATATATATATATATATATATATTAGGGCTGTCAAACGATTAATCTCGATTAATCGCATCCAAAATAAAAGTTTGTGTTTACATAATATATGTGTGTGTACTGTGTATAATTATTTTTAATACATAAATACCCACACATGCATGTGTATTTAAGAAATATTTGCATGTATATACTGTATATAGACTGAATGTAGCCGATATATAATGTATATTTTATATAAATATAAACATTTTATATATAAATAACATATTGTTCTTAAATATATATACATGTGTTCATTTATATAGAAAATAATTATAAACAGTACACACACATATATTATGTAAACAAACTTTTATTTTGGATGCGATTAATCGCGATTAATCGTTTGACAGCCCTAATATATATATATTTTTTTTATATAAAATTGGATAAATCACATTTTATTATATAAAATTTTACTGTTAACATGACATTTTATTATATAAAATTGTATAATATATATATAGAACAGTTTATAGAACAGTTGACATGGAACAGATATTTATATATATTTGTATAATATAATCAAATTTGGCTAAACACCTGGTGCAACATATCTATCTATCTATCCATCCATCCACCCATCTATCTTTTATAAATGTGCAACATATTCCCAAGTACCCATGTTGATAACAGAAGTATTGAACAAAGGCCAGACAGACCTTTTTAAACACCCATATCCTATGTGAACTTTGTACCCACAAAATGTAGAAATTTGACCAGGATTGTTTGTTTTGTATGCAAGAGAGGTCAAAGATCATTCAGAAAAATATGTGGGGTGTCCATTGAAACAGATCAGTCCGAACATATCAAAAATCAGTTTTAGGATTAACAGCACTTATCACAACATTCAGGATAGTGAGATGTTGACATTTATCGTGCACATCTTAGAAGTTAGGCTTAAAAGATATAAACCGGGTGTCAAGGCATAAACTACTCTACAATGCACTGAAAATGTAATAAAAATAAACAAATAAAAACCTATCAATAGATGTACTATATAGATGTAATGCACTATGACCTTTGTGTCTGCGAAAGTGACTTACAAGTAAGACTCTGACAGCCATGAGAGCTGCCGCCCCTGTTGACACGGTGCTGTCCATCAGGATGACATAGTCCTCACTGAGGTCCTTGGGCAGACGCAGGTAATGGAGCTGCAGATGAGATTAGACCGTTAAGACATTTTTTTAGACTGAGCAGAGATTTATGTGCCATTCGGTAGTACACTAAACATGCAAAACAGATGGAGATGTCAAGGAATTTGAGAGTGGTTTTGAACTGAGACTTCGTTCTAAATTTAAAAAGGACATCAGATGAACTTGAAGTTCAAAGAAATGCAAATGAGATAGCAAAAAGGCTTAAAAATATTTATTTTGTAACTTTTTAGCTATGTGTATTCATATTTATCAGTAAAAATCTTGAAAATAGTTCAAGATTTTGAAATAGTTTTTCACTAAATGAACATAAGAATTATACAATCATTTTAAGTTATATTCATATTTATATTCTCTAATATAACAATACAGAGTAAATAAATAGTTAAACATTGCCATTTCTTACAACAACATTAAAATGTTATTTAAGGGACATTTGGGGAAAAATTGAGTGATGGTGCAAACAAATTTTTTGGATTCAGGTCTGAATCAGTTAAATGAAAAGGACAATTTGAACTGATTCCTGTGAATGAAATGAACCAAACTCACCAACTCTCACTTCATTATTGGCCAAGCAAAAAGCGCATTCAAAATCAATGATATTCTAAATGTAGTGATTTGGTGGCGATATTAAAATAACACAAGTATATCAGGAATGTCCAACATATAAATGTCAAATCATAAATAGTGATGTTAACGAAACTTTTTTGTTAATTGAAATAAAGCTGAAGTAAAAAAAGATATATATTAGATTAAAAACATCAATGGAAATTTCAAATGTTGTATAACTGACTTAAAAGTTTAAGTAATAAAATTACAAAAAAAAAAAAAAAAAAAAAGACAAGCACATTAAAATTACTAAAACTAAAAAAAAACTAAAAAAAATAATAAGCTAATCCAAAATATGAATAAATACCATAATAGTATATTATGCTAAAATAACAGTCATAACTTAGTGTACCAAATGCAAAATGAAAGAACAGCTAGAGGGAGCTGTACGTCATACATTTACAAAACAATCCATCAGCGTCAGCACAGTTGTTGAGTTTATCATGTATATCACGACACGTGTTATACATCAGGTTGAATACAAGGCAGAGATATCAAATCTGACGAACCACAGAAGTGCAACAGACCGTGACCTGAACAGTAGGGTATGAGTAATTCATACCAAGGCTGAGAACACAAGGGCACACGATAACACGGACACTTCTTGATCACAGCTTGTTTATAGACATGTGTGTCAGTTGGATGGGTGAAGACGTGATACCTCAGGCTCTCCTGTGTCGTGATTGGTCTGGATGAGGATCTTTCCGAGTCGAATGTCCTTACAAACAGCCATCAAGGCCTGTTCCATGGTCTCTCCTGCGCGTAGAATGGACACACCAGTGATCTATCAAACGAATAAACAAGAACACGGGTATAAAGTCCTGCCATATAGATATTAGCAATATCAACTAATGTGACAAATATATAGACATCTAACTAATTTGATCCATCGTTATTTTAGTTGTTCTTTTTAGTCAATTTATCTTAGTTTTATTAAAGTTCAATTAATATTTTTAATAAGCTTTTTATTTTATATTTTTAGTTATCATAAATTTTTTAGTGATTTCTTTGTGCTTTTGTCATTTTTTCAATTATTTTTTTATATCTACTTTGGTTTAATTTATTTTTATTTCAGTTTTAGTTATTTATTTTCAGTTAATACTTTTAGTGCTTCAACTTAAACTGAACGAAAATTTGAAATGTTGCAATAAACTGAAATAAGTTTAACTAATATTTATATTTTGTTACAGCTTTATTTCAAATCAACAGAAAAAAGTTTTTCATAGCTTTAGTTTTAGGGTTTGTTCACACTTATAGTTCGGTTCTTTTGGCTCTTTTGGTCCAGACCAAAAAAAGAAAACATATTTAGTCCTGTCATTTTTCGCTAAAAATGACAGTGTGAAAACTAAAGCTAAAAAAAATATCTAAAATGTGTAAATGAGTCAAAACTGCGCCGGAAACCCTCCGTCACACACAAACGAAGATCTGCTGCGAGGAGATGCGATTCTGATGCCGGTACCGAACTGTGATGGACAACATTGTGACTATGACGAGAAAAAACAGGTATGCTTGAGCATTCTGGTATTTTTAGGGTCGCATCTTGTGACATCATGTCCTGTTTTTGCTTCGTTTACATATCTTTGGTCAGTGTTGCGTTCATATTTCAGTTGAACTGCACCAGAGTTCGTTTAGAAGCGTACACATTTATTTAAATGAACCACACTAACAGAGCAATCGCACCAGGGTTCGTTTTAATCAAACCAAACATGCCAAGTGTGAATACACCATTAGTTAACAAATAACCCTGATTTGATCGTCATTTTTTTTTTCCAGCAAAGCATGTACACATTTTAATCTTCAAATAAACAAACCCTTTTCCCGCTCAGCCTCTTCCCTTCATATACAGTTCCTTGAGGAGTTTCAACAGACACCGGCTAGAGAGAAGAGGAAATAAGAATTAGTGATGGAACTAACTAGTGCAATAATCATCAATGAAGACTTGCTTCACTTCACACCATAAAAATTGTATTTGTCCGTGGGGGGCGCTGCTAGACACGCCTATGCATAACTGTATTATGACCAATATCCAGAGCTCATAATATGGGGTTTAAAAGTTGGTCATTAATAATGACGGTCCACTCACCTTCAGCGGCAGGAAGGACAGGGCATGCTCTATGAGAAGCCTCATTAATCTCTTTGAATAGAAAATAAATTCATCCCGACTGGTTTCTTTATTCCTGGGGGCACAGGGGACACAGTCAATAATACACAACAGAGATGATGTGCGTTTTGGAGGAGAGTTTGATACTGTAAACATGAAACACAGGTCTGAGAGTTTAGATAAAGTGAGAAAACAATCCTTATTTTATTTTAATTACCCAATTACAAAACATCAGTGGCCCAAAACATACAAATCAAACTGCTGCCGGCCTGCTCAAGTCCAACTCACGATGATAAATTGTGCTCTTTATTTACACTTATACTGGAGTAACCCAAGGTGTACACCTAAAGAGTACAATAGTGATGATTCTGTCTGGGTTTGAAGCTAAAACCATATATCCACACCATTTTGAATGATTCTACAGTAGCGTTTTCTACAGCATCACGGTAAAATATATTTCTTAATATCTGAGCTGTGAGAAATCAGTTTGTTAATGTGATGAGATGTGCACCGTGAAGTAATGCCAACAACTCTTTCTATTATTATGTGGGCTTTGCTAGGTGCATGCAAAAACAAACTTGCAGCACAACTAGCGCAGTATGGTTCACAAACAAATGATTCTTGTGAGCCAGTTCTTTTAATGAATCACTCGAAAAGACTCAAAGTTTGAATCAGTCAGATGAATCCTTCACGGAATGAACTGAATCTGTCAGAGTGGTTACTGAATCAACATCTGACACAGATGAAAAAATATTACCGACAAACTTTTGAATGGTAGTGTAAATAAACAATATATCACAATTTTGTTTATAATAATATAATGTTGTATAAACCTAACCCCGTAATGTTACATAAGTACTTGAGTATTCACCAGAAGAGGTCGTACCTGATAATAGTGTGCATTCCTCTGACCTGTGGTGTGCTCTCCATGACGCTCAGAGTCTTGGGTAGAGGTTGACCCTGATGGGCTGATGCCAGGGCTGATCTATATGGCACATGGATATGAGATGTAAACATTCCTTTTTTCCATGGGTTGCAAACAAAAAGTAACACACAACACATTTTGTTAATGGAAAAGAGACAAATATAATAATATTTGACTTTTTTCCCCAGTGCAAATATGGTTTGAAAAGCGAGCCTGACGTGTTATGGTAGCAGGTCAAGGTAGAGTTAAGGCCGATTCACTTCAAGTCAGAATTTCCATTATGAATACGTTTTTTAAAATGAAACAAAGGCATTATTTACACAAATGAATCGCCCTCACCCAAAAAAGAAACTTCCCTGATCATTAATATATTAACTTGGGTTATGTGTTGGCTTAATATAGCTAGTTTCTAAGTACAAGGAGCAGTGTGATAAGTGTGTGCATCATCTATGTAACTATCAGACTTGGTGTGAATGGGCCTTTAAATTAGAAGTAGGCAGAAGTGAGGGTATTGCAACCAAAGATCTGATGTACAAGCATTAAAGGAACAGTTCACCTAAAAACTACATTTACTCTCTCATTTCTTTCCAAACACGTGACTAACTTTCTTCACAAAGGAGAAGAAAGTCATACTTGAGGGAGAGTAAATGACAGTTTGAATTTTAGGGTAAACTACTTTTTAAAACAGTGAAATAATGTGATATTAAATAAAACCAACAAGATGGTTTAGGGCTGAACCTATACTAAATCACTGTGTTCAATGGATTTGTTTAAAATTACAATGTTGTAAATGTGGAAAAACTAAGCAAGGACTGAGAGAGCCACCACTGCCCTCTACAGCCTACAATAATCACATAAGAAAGAAAATTGTGTTTAGCTAATATCTTAGAAAATATATTTAGCTGCTAAATTTCCTTCATTGTGGCTGCCAGTTCCACCAAACCTCAGCCAACAATCCCATAAAGAAAGACACCATGTCCTAACCAGGAGTGATGCGAAATGTGTTCAGCGACAAAAACTTGTCTACACTGAACACAAAACTGCTGAGCAGCGTGATGCAATGATAACCAATCAGAAGTTTTGAGGAGCAGGATTTTGGACCAATGAGATTTCATTGTGGGTGTGGCGAAATGTCACAAAAATAGAAAACAAGAGACAGAATGTCCTGTCACTGTTAAGACTGGTTAGGACACTGCGAATATTATTTGCCCATTCTGAAAAGATGGAAGTTGAGTTAAACATACACAAGCAAGTTGAAAAAAAAAATGTCAAACAATAATAGTAAAAATGCTGATTGTTACTAAAGGAGCAGAACATGGTTTTATAAAGTGAGGAAGGAATGCAGAGGATGGATAAAAAAACTAATAAAATGAAGGAAACAGAAAAAAAGGAAAGACGAGAGGATGCAAGAATTTATCCTCACATATCCCAGCGGAGTTTCCTCTGAAGGAGGGAATAAATGATCATTGGGAGACAATGATGACGAGATAGAGACAGAGAAAAGAGAGGGGGACAAAAGAACAAGACTTGATTAAAGTCTATACAGAACAGATGGGACAGATCACAGCCAAGATGAGCTCAGGTCTGGGCAGTATGTCAGTGGTTTTCAGCTGAAATGCTGCTGCTGGCCTGAATAAAGGGATAAAAGGACAGCAGACGTCTCAATAGAGACAATGTATTGATGGGATTTGCAAGCTGCACAGTACCTGAAGAGAAAAACCACTGAAACAGGCCCATCCCCGTGTTAGCAACAGCATCAAAATAACAGTGGAGGTGGAGACAAAAGGTACACCGTGAAGCTATGATGTGTTTTTGCTTGCAACATTTTTTTGTCTTCACATCAATTTTGTGTAATTCATTCAGGTCCTTAACAAACAGTCTCCACTTTTTGTTATCAGGAAGGATGCATGAAATTGTTCAAAAGTGACAGACTTTTTCCCCATTTAATCAAAGAATCCTGAAAAATACATCACAAAAATTATAAGCAGCCCAATTGTTTTTTAACATAGCTAACGATATGTTTCTTGGGCACCAAAATCAGCATATTAGAATGATTTCTGAAGGATCATGTGACACTGAAGACTGGAGTAACTCAGCTTTGCCACAGACAACAGTTATTTAAATTGTATTTATATTTCACTTATCTGTATTTTTGATCAAATAAATGCAGCCTTGGCAAGCATAAGAGATTTCTTTTAAAAACAGTGAATTAAAAAAACGGCCACAAACTTTTGAAATGTTATGTATTAGCTGTTTGAATTGGAACAGCCAAGACTTTAGACCAATGAGATTACAATGTGGGCGGGGCTGTGTATCTCTTTATACGGCAGCCTCGACAACCCTCAACATTTAATTTGTTTAGCGTAGTTGTGCGTTTACAACACCATAGCTAGTCTTTTCCTTTTGTCTCTATTTGCATCTCTGCAGGTTTGAGAAAAAAAAAGGACAGATGAAGCACAAGTTTAAATAATGAAGAAAAGATAAATGGAAGGGAATGAGGGGAAAAGCAGCCATACCTCACTGTGATTTCACGCTGGGATGGTTAGAGCAATCGGTTGAGGTTTTAGCAAGTATTTCATTACAAACACACACAAGGAGGAGAAGAATAAAAAAAGAAAAGAAAAAAAGACAAACTCATGAAATGAAATATTCACTCAGAAAAAGCCATTCCAAAAAGTCAGCCCCTCACCCTCTCCATGGTATACTGGAAAAAATTTCATGGCAATATCAGCTATTCTTGAACCCTATATTTAACCTGGTGTAATCAAATTCTTACATTTATGTTTCTCATATTTACATCACTGCAAATAAAATGTCTCAGGCTGATTTAACATTCCATATACAGACACTAAATTTTCCATAGCTTTGAGGTAAAAGAAAATCTTTAAATTAAAAGGAACTTTTCTGTTTCCTACAGTGGATTTAAAGAAAAATGCTTTTATTTTTAAGAGTCTGCTCTTTTACCTCGACTTGTTTAGCCTATACACTTACCCTCTGTAATAAATTTAATAAGAAATTTAAATAAGGGAAATTCTATTTTGCATAAATAAATAAAATATCAACAAACATTTAACAAATGATTAATATATTACATATTTCATATGAATTTGAATTAATAATATAATACAAGTAAAATGTATGAAAAAATAATATATTTTACGATTGAGCAGACAGATGATAGATAGATAGATAGATAGATAAACAATCCGTTTATCTATCTATCTGTCACGTTAGCAAATCTAAGGGTTCATCTAATATTTTCTCTCAAAGTAAAACATGTCAATACCATCATGCACAATATTACAAACCCACACCATCAAGTTATACCAAAATAACGCAGACCTCAAGTCTGACCTCTATTGGATGAGAAACACAATGCGGCACTGTGGCTTTAGAGCATGATATCTTTTGTACAAAAGCACATGATGGTTCATTAGTCTTAAAGATCATTCCTCGCTGTGACTGATCGAGTGAAGAAGAGAAAAGCATTTTCCACCTCAGGATAATTCATGACTTTATTCAGCCTGCCAGACAAGAAAAGGATTACATTTCAAAGAGGCTCTAAACCCATTTTGTAGAATACATCTGTCATCAATACATGCACATGAACATCACTCACCAAACGTTCATTAGTGTTAACATCTTTGTCTTGCTAATAATTACCTTGGTAGAAACCTAAAGTAAACATGAAATCAAAATTGACTTTACATTTGCTTTCCTAATGCACGTCTCCTGGTTTCGCAGAATTCACAATCAGGCCAGGCTTTATACTGGAACAAAATGTCCACTTTTGAATACAATAAGGTCATCATTTCAACCTTCCTTTGTTTTAATGTGTTAGAAATGATCATACAGAATTTTACAGGTTGCAAATGAAATTATGATGTTTCGTTGATAATTTGAAGAAGAAAAAAACTACTCTATATGGTCCTAAACTATGAGAAATGAATCCTAATGATTCTAGTTGTCCAGAAAACTAATTAAAAGGGACTATAAAGGGGAAGACCTTGTTTTAACCAATGCGCACACTATTTAGATTAGAACAATATATATTTTATAACAGGTACAGTATGGCCACCAGAGGGCAAACTATACTTATACCATGAGCACATTATACTTATACCATGGCATGGGATTCATATGCACATGCATGCAACATTTGAGTGTGTATTAGGAGCACGTGGATCATCTAGCAGGGATAACAACATGCATGTTGACCATTCTCAACACTTTAATATGCACAGACCAACTAACCATTCTCACTCAATGTTGAACAGAAGAGAATAAGGAGCCGTTTTTATTACGCACCTTTTCCAGTTGACTGTGAACGTGCTGAACAATCAGATCCAACGCTACAAAGTTTTCTCCACCTGGGGCAACAATGGAAAGGGGCAAACTTTTTTAATGTATATAATAACTTAAATAATGAATTCAAATGCATGTTATACTTCAATAAACTAGGAATATTTTATGCATTTAATTATTTAATTGCCATATCATCATCAAAAGCTATATTCATGGCATATATATATATACACACACACACACACAGTCAAACCAAAATTTATTCAGACACATTCAACATTTGAGTTATCAAATCAGTTGATATTTCACTGGCCATCCTTCTGTTACTGTCTCACAAATTAATTAGGTTGAATAGCTGTCAGTTGCACCCACTAGTAAAAATAAAAATCATAAATGATATCTGGTGTCTGAATAATTTATCGTTTGACTTCTTATAAATAATTTGAAAAACCTCATATAGTTGTGGTGTTATAAGATAATTTAAAAAAAATTATAGATTAATTACATATCTGAATAAAAAACATAGCAAAAGTAACATTTCACTAAAATATGCTTAATAGTCAATACTGGTGGGCGTTTTGCAGTTTTGACAATTTCCAAATTCACCTACCCCTTGGGACCACAATATCTGCAACCTGCACAGTGGGTTCGATGTACTGTTCAAACGCTGGCTTGACAAATTTGTTGTACTGTTTAATGACGCCTGCAATGTCACGCCCTCGATCCGTGATGTCCCTTTTCAGACGCCTGACCAGCCGGATATCAGAGTCAGTGTCTACAAACACCTTCATGTCTAGCAGCTGAGGGGCACAAAGAGACAGAAATACAATACAAAATGACAAAAACTGACAACATGTGTGATAGACAAACAGGACTACAACGAACAAATACTTTGACAGGCCACAGCTATGTGTATTCTAATGCACTCTTAAGGGTTTAATCAAGTCAAGTTTATTTATTTGTCATATACAAATGTCAAAAGACAATTAGTAAATTGAAATGCATTTGGTTGAGGCTCAGGGATTCAACAGTAGTGCAATATATACACAATTTAGAAAAAATATATATATTTACAGTAAAGTATATAAATATTCGAAACAAATGTTTGCTTTGTATATTAAATAATAAATGTTTAGTATGTGCAGTGTGTTTTAAAGTGCAAAAAGCTATTTGTAAAGGAAAGGTTTGTGTGCAAAGGTATGCAGTGCAAGAACCTGGAGTAGACAGTAGAATCATTTCTGTCATGGCATATGATAAGACGTTGCAAGAAGGAGTTAAGTCTCCATTACAGTGTGTTAAGGGTTATGATGGCCTGTAGGATCTGTTCTTTAATCTGCTGATTCTGGATTTAATACTTCTGTACTGCCTGCCTGATGGCAGTTTGTTAAACAGGTTGTGTGCTGGGTGACTGGGGTCAGCAATGAATTTGCGAGCCTTCTTCAGAGGTGTCATCAGCGAACTTCAGGTCGGCACTGTTTTGGCAGCACGTGGAGGACCAATGGCATATTAGGAAGGTGGTCATAATATTTTCACTCATCAGGTAAAACCTAATTTTCCTCCAGTTCAAAGTGATGAAATTTTGCAAGGCAGGCACAATCTGTCCAGGACCCACTACTGTCTCTCCTCGACGGTTCTTGTTACTGAAAACACGAATATGATCTTTCAACGGAGCGAAGTGATAGGATGTTTTAAAAAGCGGCTCAGCAAAGTAGAAGTCAGGATCAATCAAAGCATTAGTGCAGCGTGACGGACACTAGCCAAGACACACGACACTGACGCTGAAAATGAAGATCATTCAGTGAGCCGGCAAAATACGGCAAAAGCATTAAATTTCAGGCTAACGATAAACAATTCAACAATCTGAAACAGCAGTGCAAGCAGCCCTGCCAACACGGCGAAATATAACTTATAAGACTGTGTGCAGGCATGCAAGAATAGCATAAGAATGGGGTAAAAGGTCGAGTGTATATCAACTTGTACAGGACAGGAAGTCATTGCTCATCCTTCCTGAATGCATTTCTCTCAAATAAAATAATGAATGTGAGCTGTCACTGTATTCACAAAGACCTGCCATGAGAAAGAGTTCAACGGAAAACCCTGATCTATTCTAGCCGACAGATGCAAAAGTGTCTACCGTTTGTTGAGTTTCATTCATTCTGCGGCACGTCTGCTGCAAGGTGCTCATAAATCACATCAGGATGAACTGCTTTGCCAATGCGTACACAATAACTCCAATTTTAATTTGTATAGATTTCCGGAAACTTTGCACAGGGAAGAATCGAAACCCGGCAATGGGAACAGTCAACACTGGTGTAAATAAACGCCGCCTATTCACTTCCTGTAGCCAGTCCTTACCTTTATCATTAAAGAAAGAAAAGAATCAGTCATCTTCATTGAGTGAGGAAAACAACAGGATGCAACAGGAATAGAACAGAAGGAGAGGAAAACGGACAAGCGAGGACAGTCCTTGTGCAGTTTTAATAGGACCAGGCTTTAGAAACGTGATTTTATAAATCTATTCTTGAACCAGAGATGCAGTTTCTCCCCTAAATGATAGAAGAGACAACTAGAACTCATTATCTAACCATTATTCATCTATATTCAGGGCTGCAAAGAGCCAGAGATGGTATTGCAGAGAGGGAATCTCATCTTCCGGGTTGGGTTGTGGCAATGAGGTCTATTACTCAGAGGCAGAGACACACCAGTCTGGGTGAAATTTTCAGGATCATTTCACCCCAAATTAAAAAATAAATAAACAGAGCAATTCCAAGAGGATCCTCGCACCTTGGTGCTCATGCTCTAAAAATTAAGACATTATAATTTACATAGCGATAATGAAGCCTGCTTTTAAGACCATAATGATTTTTTTGCCTTGCAATATTATTTTCATGACCACAAGCACATTTGCATTACCATAATAAAAAATGTAATAATTCTCATAAATGTTATACACTACCTCTCATAAATACCTCATACACTACCATTAGTTGAGTCAGTAGAGAAATGTATACTTTTATTTAGTAAGGAAGCGTTAAATTGATCAAAAATGAAAGCAAAGACATTTAGGTTTCAAAAAGATTTTTCAAATAACTGCTGTTCTTTCTAACTTTCTATTCATAAAAGCAAAATACATTTTTGATCGATAAAATACAGCCTTGATGAGCATAAGAGAGTTCTTTGAAAAATATATATTTTTTAAATCTTACCGACCCCAAACTTTTCCATGGCAGTATATATATATATATATATATATATATAAACCCATCTCATTCTCATGACTTGTAATACAGTAATAAAACCGTCATACACAGGCCATAAAAAAAAATAAAAAAAAAAGCATAAATAAAAGGCAACATCAAAACCATCATGCATAGTTTAAATTGCCCTTTATAATTTAACTTTTTTTTATAGGGTTTTACATAGCATTATGGTAGGCTACTGTAGAATTTCTTAATAAAAAGAAAAAATATATTTTGTATGTAAAAAAAAAGAAAAGAAAAAAAGTTTTATGGTCATTCGGCATCCATCACTAACCTGTGGTAATATATAATACATAATACTCCCTCTCGTCTCTTCCTATCATTACACATCTCTCTTTTCATTTGACCTTATCTTTTACTACACCTCCATTTTTCCCTCTGCTTTATGACTCCCATGATGCTCTTCTATATATCAGGCTATGAAGCTTTCCGCAATTCTTCCCCTCTTTCACTAAAGTTCCTTTGTGATATCACAAACCACATTTAAAGATTATAGCTGACACTTTTATATAATGTCCAGTGCGACAAGTTTAATATGAGGCTTACCTTTAAAAGCTCCTTGTTGGCAAAAGCCAAGATTCCCTCAAATATCACAACATTGGCCCCATAGACGGTTTTCTGCACAAAGGATCATAAACAGAATATCAAATGACCAGTAATAACATAGCATATAACACGGCTCAACTCTAAGAATTTTTTCCCCTGCCAGAATTTTAACTGGCCCCACCAAAAAAATAAATATGAATGAATACATAACTAAAGTTTTGTTGTTTTGACCCTGTAACATTGTATTCTAATAAATAAGACTTAAAAGCATGTGCAAAGTTTTGCGACAACGCAGTCGCCCGATTGGGAAAGTGAGAATTACATCAACTGTCCCGAGCGTTTTTCATTGTGCAGTCCTTATTGTTGAGCCCTGATATAATATAATAATGCATTGATAAAATCTTCTATTATAATTAATCAATTATATTAAGCGTTTTAATATAAAAAAACTGATTTATACTCTAACTGATCAAATTATCCACAAATAAGGTAGACAAAGCACCCCGAAAAATGCCTTGAAGTGCTTGTGCTGGACTACAACTATTTTTCACTTCAAATATGATGTTAATAAACTGAGGCAGTGCAGGGAGAGACTGTGGAAGTGTGCAGTGATGCATTTCCTCCATGCTTCCCTGCTTCAGAATGAGGGGAACCCTGATGGTGTCATGATCCCATTAAGACAGATGCACTACCATGAGGCTTCCCGTCAATGGCCTCTCATTCTGTATTGATCAGCACACGTGGCCTATATACACCACAGAACCATAAATCTCCCTTTATCACTCATCAACATTACGATCAATTTATGGAGAAATTAAACCTTAAATTTTAGGAAGACAATAAAGGCAAGCACAGTCCCTAAATAATAATGTCTGAACTGACGTAATTATAGTGCTGTGGTTTAACTGGTACTGCTTTATTTCTATCAGGCATGAAATTGCAAGTTGCCTAAAGAAAAAAAATCCAAGCAACATTGTACCAAGTTGACATTTCAATGATTTGAGTTTTTGGTTTTTTTTTTGTGTTAAAACAAAAGTATATGAGTTAAATCAATACAGAGATAATCATATAATAATCAGTTTTAGACAGTAAATCCATCTAAATGAACATCAATATTCAGGAAAAATATAAGTTATTCATGTTATGCTAATGTTCTTCTGCCACAATGTGGCATCATAGAACTAGAACATATACTAATAGAACAATTACATTGCATTGTTGCATCACACTTAAAGCAATAAAGCACTAGTCATTTCTTCTATGCTAAATTATATTCGTCATTTTTGAAAATTCTACTGGGTGATGCAGAAACTACACAGCTTTATTTTGTAGGGGAAAACAAAGTAATCAATAGCATGCGCTCGTGCATACTACTAACCAGGCAATCACACACATGCTTACCCACTCCTTGCGACGGTTATGGGTGGTGAAGTCATACACAGGCACTTTGATGCTTTTGCCCTTTTTCAGTTTTCTCAACACAGTTACCACCAGCTCAAAATCAAAGGCATCAGGATGATCAAAGTTGTATTCGTTTCTGGCTGCCAACTCCTGTTCCTCTTTACTCAAAACCTGCAAGTCAGCAAGAAAAAGAAGTTAAAAATACGTTAACAAGTATACTTCGGCTGGCCGTGTTCCTCGACAGTCCACAATTTGTCATCTCTGTGTGCGTCTAGCCTAATTTTTGAGTCCACGTGGACGGAGAGCGTACACCAGCGCTTGTGCGAGTGACTGAGCGCTCGAAAACAAAGCCCTCATTGCTTAAAAGAGTATACTTTGAAAGTCGCACACACAGTTGAGTGAATAAGCAGAAGGCAGAAATTAAATGAAGTATACCCGGGCCTTAAATATATATATAAAAAAATGTAAAAAAATTATGGTGGCGTAGAAATGTTGTGAGGTTGACAATAACAAAAAAAGAGGTAATATTCAAAGAAAGCGTCCTGTAGAATTCCCACCATAAAGAAACAGATTGAACCACTTAATTAGACCACTAATAGGCTGAAGGATATGCCATTAAATCAAATAAGGATTAATGAATAGACCTTATAGTGTTTCAGCACATCCAACAGGGGCAGGACCAAATGAAATTAATGCTTCAATAGTTTCAACACATGAAGAAGCTCCATTTGGAGCACTTTAATGGCACAGCGGTCTGCAAATGCAACTAGAAACAATAGTTGCTCTCTTAAAAGGACAGGAAGTCCAAAGCAGATGTATTCTGGGTCTTAAAAAGTACCTTGTAGAAAGAGTCCATAGAAAGCAGAACAACCCAAGGAACATCAAGAGCCTCTATGATCTTATTGGCCACGGTGGTTTTCCCAGAGGCACTCCCTCCACACAGACCTGCAGGACACACCAGAAGACGCAGCTTGTTCAAATGCACAAAGAGCAAATATTTAATGCAAACATTTGACCACGATCATGGCACAACCATGAAAGTTGCTGCTGTTATTAAGGTAACATCTTCAAAAAGGGCTGTCAAGCAGAGCCCCTTATCAAAATCGTGTTCGAGAATGAAATGACATGCTTTTAGATTCATTGTGCTTCACAATAATAAATAATATAACAGCTTACAGTGGGGGAAATAATTATTTGATCCCCTGATGATTTTTTAAGTTCGCCCACTCACAAAGAAATGAAGGGTCTATCATTTTTATGGTAGGTTTATTTTAACAGATAGAGACAGAAAATTAACCAAAAAATCCAGAAAAAACACATTAAAGGGTTAGTTCACCCCAAAATGAAAATTCTGTCAGTAATTACTCTCCCTCATGTTGTTCCAACCCCGTAAGATGAACTTTTGTTCATCTTCGGAACACAAATTAAGATATTTTTGATTAAATCTGAGAGCTGGATCACTCCTCCATAGGCTTCTTAAGGGATCGAAACTGGCCGGCCCAAAAGTTAAAGACATCGTAAAAATAGTCCGAGTGACTACAGTGGCTCAATCTTAAGTTTATCAAGCGACGAGAATACTTTTTGTGCCAAAAAAAAAAAAAAAAAAAGACTTTATTCAACTATTCATTTCCTTCTCTGTTGGCCTTAAGATTTCACGTAGTGAAACTACGCAAAGCTTCTGTGTTGTACGTCACACGCATCACACACATGACCAGCATCGGCCGATAGTGAGCCTACGTGTGACGTGCAACCTAGAAGCTTTGCGTAGTTTCACTACGTGGAATCTAACGGCCCACAGAGAAGGAAATGAATGAATGAGATAATGTGATGAATGAGAACAAAAATGAGATACACCACCAGTGGGAATAACAAAAAGCTTCTTGTTGTCCCATGGAGTAAAGTTACTTAAAACTGCTTTAATGTTCTTATGTCCTCTCTCGCCTCCCTGTTTCTCTGACCTTTGGTTAAGGGAAGATCATTCCACTTGGGTGGATTTATTAGTTTCTCTCTGACCGAGCGAGCAGGGATGACAGTCACACCAAGACACCAGACTTCTTTTTTTTTTTTTACAGGAATAATTGACTGGAGCACATCCAAGTGTGAAATTGTAAGCCGTACGACAGGCTCTTTGTGAGTAATGGATTGCATACTAATGACCTCAGAGCTCAGTCCTGAGAGAGCTCATGTTCTCAGACCAGATTCACACGACAAAAGTGTAAACCCTGCAATACTAATGTTTTCTGGGAAAGTTCCACAAAAGATTTTAAACATGCTTTAAGATATATATGATTTTTCCCCCCCAAGAAATTTATACTTTTATTCAGCAAGGATGCATTAAATTAAACAAAGGGACAGAAAAGGCATTTGTAATGTTACAAAAGATTTCAGTTTCAAAAAACAAAGGATGTTCTTTTGAACTCTCTATTCATCAAAGAATCCTAAGATAACTGTATTACAGCTTCCACAAAATTATTAAGCAGCAAAACTGTTTTCAACATTGATAATAATCAGAAATGTTTTCTGAGCAGCAAATAAGCATATTAGAATGATTTCAGTAGGATCAAGTGACACTGAAGACTGCTGAAAATTCAGCTTTGCCATCACAGGAATAAATTACATTTTAAAATACATTAAAAACAGACACCAGTTTTTTAAAATGTCAATAATCTGAATTTCACAAATATTACTGTTTTATGTTAGCCTGACTTTCACTTTGTCATACTCATATTCTAGTCAGAATGTGAGTCTGATACTGCTCCATAGGGCTTTGATTATGAGGCGTCTCTTAACCGAAGCAGAAAAAAACAACTCTGCACTCAATTGGATAGACCTACAACCAATCAGAGCAACGCAGTGTTTTTTTATGAGTTAGCAAAGTTGTCAACAGAAGCAGAACTCAACTACACGCACGCTGGAAGAAGTAGTAAAATAATGAGTGTTGCTTCTTTTACTTGGTCCTCCATGAGTGCGAGTGTGCGACCAAAGGAGAAACCACAACGACCACAGGGTTTTCATTGCGTCCCATCTTTTTAGCGACCATCGGAGCCAGCTGATAAAATAAACTTTTGCCGAATCCCATAGGAAGGACGGCAAACATCTTTTCGATCGACAAATGCCTTGATTGCAGCTCTCTGTTCGTCTTTTAAAATGAATGCGCTGTCGATTTCTTTTACAACAGACGCAATACAGGAATCTATACATCTCAATTCTCCACCTGCAGTCAACTTTGAGGGAAACCAGTTCAACCCAAGCGCTCTTTGATAACGCGATGATTACGTAACTGCAGATCATCTGTCCATCATTGTATAAAGCCCGTCCTGGCAATTTGATTGGCCCGACTAATTCTGAACCGATCATAATTACTCCTCAATGGATCGAGTCCAGACCGAACTTCCCGACCAAAAAATGTTGTGGGCGGGGTTCGGGCTGGCATCCAGGCTAGTTTTATGTATTTTGATCAAACAAATGCAGCAATGCAAACCATAAAACACCAAAAGAAATCTTACTGAGCCCACATTTTAGAACGATAGTGTATATTTCATGTCTCATATTTAGAGCAAGCAATGTCTATATTCTCCAAACAAGAAAAAACAAAAACATTCATTCTGTATTAGCCTTGCGAGTTTTTATTTATACCATTTGCCCCATTTTACATTTATGCTTTTTTATTTAATACTAACTAATCTCTGAGTCCCTTATGAGTTTAATAAAGTATTAACAAAATATGAAACCTAAATATGAAACCTAGACCCATTTAATTTTCTTAATAAATGACTTACTGTGCAATGTTTTATAATCTTTTGTCAAATGTGATAATTCATTCCACTTTACATAAGACTGGTTTGTGGTAATCAAATGTAGTAAAAGTTATGCATGTGTGTCGTACCTATGACAAAGGCTTCTTTAAAGGTGGTCCCAGTAACGTTGTACCAGGGTGGTCGCCCTGCAGTGTAAATTGTCCTCTTATTTGTCCTTAGAAGTGGAGGCTCAGTTTTGCTTTGGCTGGTGGTCCGTTTCCGTGGGGACAGCGAAGGGGTAAGGGGACATCTGGGTCTCATAAGGCCATCGAGAGAATCCTCGCCACTACCACGAATTAAAGACAAACAAATCAAACTGCAAAACATTATGTTTTATAAAGTAGCACAATGGGATTTGCTTTAGCAAAACATTTCTGTGTCACTTAACAATCATCAATAACTGATAAATGATCATTGAACAGAGCAAAGTAGTAAGTGTGAGTGTCCACATCACCATCAGACATGCCTTTATAATCTTGAACGGCCCCATTTGACCTGAGCATAGCTATTGGACACTGTTTCATAGAGAGCTTGAGGAAATCTGGGTCTTTGTGATGCCCTCAGAAAAAGCTGCTCACATGATCATTTCTGTAAGTGTGGTAGAGGGACTAGGAGCTTTCTTCATATCCTGTCCAGGAAACCACACATCTGCTCAGCCAAACCTGGAGCCTCATTTGAGTAAGACCCTCATCACATGGACAGACACTGGACACTCACTGGCGCTAATGAATCATTAAATTGAAGTATAGTCCATTACACAATGGCAGTGCTAAAAAGGTCAGGATGTTTGCTTTGAAAGACTAGGCTTACTTGGATTAAGGGTAGTTGACATGAAATTCTATTGTCTGTGCTGCTGTGACATGTTGCGTGATTTTTTTGGAAGGAATACAAGGAATATGTGTCACATTAACTCTTGTTAATACAAAGAAGGCTAAAGGCGAATAAAAATTGTGATAAGTTAATGGAAATATGCATTAAAGTTTATAAATATCCATATTTTCTCAATATCAGGTTATATGAAACTCTAACGGGCATGTTATGCTCAATTACCCTGCCCCGTTTACACCAAGAACGATAACTATAAAGATAACTAACTATATTAGCGTCCACACCAGCGGACGATTTCGTTCAGTTTATTCTAGGTGCGTGCTTGACTGTCACTTTAAATGCTCGAGCTCGTTACAGGAGGATGGATTCTGATTGGCTGTCAATGTTTTTATCGTTATTCAGCTGGATAAAATCGTTCTGAAAGTAATTCCAACGATATCGTTTCTCTGTGTGCAGTTATCGTTATAGCTGTGGTGTGGACTCCGCTATATGTTGAGAACGATTTTTAGAACTAACGTTATATCTTTATCGTCATCTTTTAATGTAAACACCCCCCAAATTATAGCGTATTTTTGATTTTGCAACTAAAAGTGTATAATATCGACTATTAGCATTCAAAATAAATGTAATGCTTGCGTTTATATATTTTAATTCTGCATGTTGCTTTAAATTTAACTGCAATACAGCCCTCTTCATTCAACTCATTCTTCCATTGATTTGATTTTGCTGCCACGCCAGCAGCTCCAGAAAAAAAAAGCAGCTGCTCATTCTGTTTGAGTTCTAACGTTAGATCTCAACCAGACAATAAATAAGACCAAACAAGCAGGTAACGTTACACTGTGTAACTTGTGTCCCTTGCTGTTCTATTGCCACTGGTCAAAACAACACTGTCCTTTATTTGTCAACCAGATCAGTTACTAATCACATTAGCTAAGCTCGACAGGCACTTTATCTACTCACCTGTCAGATCTAGACATCGACTGATCATCCTCCACTCCTTCTTCTTTCTGTTGCACCTGGACATCGTTTTGGCTCGTTGTCATCGCCATGTTTTGTGCCGCGAACGCGCGGAAACGCATGTCCGGAAGTGCGTTTACGTCACGCTTGTGGTGGCGCATAGTAAACGCAGACGGAGATCAGTGCTTCTTTTTATTGTATTACTATTGTACAATTTTATTGTATTACTTTATATATAATAGGCCTACTATAGAGTACTATCCTATTATTATATTTTTTGTTATTTGAATAAATCGACTATATATTTTATATTCTATGTTTTTTCGGAAAAAAAATTCAACTGTGCACGCGCGCTACAGAAGGGGTTGTCCAATCCTGCTCCTGGGGGGTATTCCAGAGAGCAGGTTATGTGACATACCAGGGTAAATTAAGGTAGTAGCACAGATAATACGAAATATTTTCCGCTGTGAGAGGGTGATACGATCATTGTTTCTTTATTTCTGTATTTTCTGTAATAAAAAGACATTTGTATTTATTGCTTTATAATATGTTATTCAACAACAATGTCAGATTAATGTTCACATACTGTTTCCCACCTTAAGCTGGTGCTCCAGCAATTCAATTTCAAGTCTGGCCTTTTTTATGTTGAGCCTTTTCTCCTCCATTTGAAGCTGTATATATAAGGTCCATCTCCATGTCACTTTTTCTAATTTACCTTTGAAGATGGACCTTTTACAGCTCTTTGGCAGGCAACTAGAAAGACAAAATAATTCAACATGGTTGATAAAGTCTGTAATACAAACACAGACCAAATATTTAAATGAGAAAGGACAACTGCAGAAAATTTCTTACACTGCTATGCATGCGGTAGATGGACCCTCATCTGCATGTAAATCCCCAGCCATATTCTGTAAAATTACATTTTTTATTCTCTTATGTAAAAGGGGGGGGGGGGGGGGGGGGGGATGCATTATATGCATCATACCTCTATGGGCCTCCCCGCAATTTTCGATTTCTGTCACAGCAAAGGTGGTCTCAATCATCTTCATCCTACAGTGCAAATAAGTAAGGATGCTTGGCAAACAGAAACCTAAAGACAATAATCACTTACAACTGTGACAGAGTGTGGTGTTGCAGGAAGGTCCAATAATACAATGTGGCCATCAGCAACTGCAAGACATTTGTTTAAACCTCGCCGTGCGCGCGCATTAACTCCAATATACGGAGCCCCCCTAGTCCCACTTTGTCAAAAAAATGTATTATAACTATCTCGTGGCCTCAAGATAAGTAACTCGTGGCCTCAAGATACTATCTCGTGGCCTCAAGATAGTATCTCGTGGCCTCAAGATAGTATCTCGTGGCAAGATAGTATCTCTATCTTGAGGCCACGAGATACTATCTTGAGGCCACGAGTTACTATCTTGAGGCCACGAGATACTATCTTGAGGCCACGAGTTACTATCTTGAGGCCACGAGATACTATCTTGAGGCCACGAGTTACTATCTTGAGGCCACGAGATAGTATCTTGAGGCCACGAGTTACTATTGAGGCCACGAGATAGTATCTTGAGGCCACGAGTTACTATTGAGGCCTCGAGATAGTATCTTGAGGCCACGAGTTACTATCTTGAGGCCACGAGTTACTTATCTTGAGGCCACGAGATAGTTATAATAATTTTTTTTGACAAAGTGGGACTAGGGGGGCTCCGTACCAATAGGAGGTTAATTGAACTAACTCCTCACAGGTGTTTTAGAACCGAAATACCCAGCGTAAACAAGTTTTGGGTATATGTGACGGTAAGTTAACCTTGCTTTCTGGAACCCCCCACCCACCCCTGGTTTACAGGAATATATTTAGTAAAATCAAACTTCTGCTAAATTAGGTTTAAAACACTCTCAGTATGTCTATTTGTTTGTTTATTAAACAGTAGCCTGCATATATGCGTAGCCTATGTGAGACGTTTTATGTGCACTGTCTGGTGCCATGGGGCTCTTCCTAATTTTTTTGTAGCCTATAGGCTATGCCTATTTACAAAAATTGCCTCGAATTTAAAATAACTTTTCCATTTCCGTCTTACAGACACGTGCAGCCCTTTGCACTGCAGCCAGTATTGCGCAGCATGAGTTGTCCCAAACACAAGGCATAGGCTAGGCTACTCGTTAATTCCCAACAGACGCAGACTTTATTCACGTAAAACCAAGCTCTGCCACCTTTTGCGGATCCTACTATAGCTAAGGCTTATCCCTTAATTACTAATTACGTCCTGGTGAGGTTGCTTGATAGCTTTCCAATGGCGAACGTCTGGCTTGTGAATATTACGTTTGTAAAGATGACGTTGCTCTCCTTTAGCTCATGAATATTAATAGCCATGCCTTCGCCATAGTAAGATTCGTAAACGAGTTAACTGGACTGCTGAATCTTCTGCACCACATCCATCCGATCTCCTCCACAGCCAAGTTTGCCAGCTCCGCATACAGCATCGGAATTACTCACCGTAATCCTGTGTTCTCCTTTCTGTGGACCTGATGCAATGAGTGCTTTCACTCATTTTTTTGAATCCTCCGAAAATGAATTGGAAGAATTTTTATTTTGCCGTCTAATTTAAAACGCATATTTTAATTTTCGCTCGCAATTCGGTGTTTTTTTTTTATTTTTTTTTTTTTTTTACTGGTCACTGAAGCTGCACAGGGACCATGGATCCTCCACCGACTTCAGAGAAATCGCATCTCATCAACGAAAGAAATGCCAAAATATACTCCTTAAAATTTAGCAGGTAAAATAATGTAGCCTATTCATCTATTTCACAAAGGCATATTTAGGCCTATTATCCAGTATTATCATTATTTTCGAGATATTAGTGTGATTAAAAAATACATGGTCTGGAAATGTGAACAATAAAATGAAACATTTTTGAAAATTGTAAAATTGTAAAATTTATTTAGTTCTTATTGAGAACAGAAAAATATTTTGATATTTTCCGACTTAATTCTCAAAATCCCTTACAACATGACCTGTTGTAGCGAACAGATGGAGTCTGATATTTCCACATTGTGACTAATTCGAAAACAATATGCGCCAAATTGAGAAAGCCATTCACGTGTATTCTTAACACAGTCCATAATTTAAATGTGTTAAGTATGTGCGTGAGATGCGTATAGTTTTATTGAAGAGATTCGTTTCATGCTTGAGTTGATTTTGGACAATAGCCTTTTTGAGCAATAGCCTCATGGAACTTTAGTGAGCAAAATCGACATATTATGACTTCCATATGGAGATTACACACGATATAAGATTTTCATTATGTTTCTTTGAAGCAATAAAATCAGATAAAACAGCAAAACCTTCATAGCCCCCTTTCCCTTAACGCCCCACTAAAGCAAGCAGGTGAGAGAAGAGTTTCAGCACCATGGACAGATACTCTTGAGTTGTCAATATGAAAAAGAGCAATACAATTTAACGTGTCAGAAATGATAATCATTATCCGTAGTGTTTATAAATGGTGTGTCATTTAAATATTACTCTTGGTTACAAGCAGCTTCGACTTAGAAATACAATTTCGATTTTTATTAGGCGATCAAATATGTAACTCGGTACTTTATTATGCCTAAATAACAGATTAAGATAGGCTACTGGTAGGCCTACGTAACGAAAATATTTATTATGATTAATACTAAAACATCACAATTTGCGCTGGACATAAAATTACACAATGATGGACATGCAATTACACAAAGGCATGAGTAGAATTACTCCTGTTAAAACATTGACAATTTTCACAAACCAAAGCTGAAGTAGCTTAGCCTACATATTTGTGACATTGAGGATGATGTCGAGGAACAGAACAATGATTGAAACCGCGTAGCCTAATTATTACAAAACTGTCTATGCGACAAAATTAGTGACTCCAGCAGGAGATATACCACAAACGATAGTGCAAGGAAAATATTTCATTGGAAGTCGTTTTCCAGTTGTTTGCAGTGAATTTCGATGAATATCCTGCTGTTTGCAGTTAGATTGTGGTCTTGAAGAAATATGGGAAATATTTAGGCTAGATGAATGTGGCAGAAGCATTTTCGGAAACTGCTGAAACAAATAAAATCTCACTTATAGCCTGCATTACATTAACAAAAACGGTATTTCAGAGAATGGTACATCATGTTATTCGTGTATCAACAGGTCACCTGAACAAATGTCGAAGGACATGAAACAAAGCAGCTGAGAAGTAGATTGTGTTGTGTAGAATTGGATTTTGTTACTCCACCTGGGCGGATATTCTGTAGTAGCGGTATTTTCTTAAATCTGCCCAGCTTCTGTCTTTAAGAGAGAAGAAAGGGGAGAAATGCACGTCCTGTACAGTGATAACGTTTTTTTTTTTTTAACTATTATTAATATTATATTTTTTATCAACACTCACAGTAGCTATAATGTTAAAAACTGCAATGTTAATTAAACTGCATTGATTTCCGAAAGATTTTAAACGTGTTATTTTTAAGAAATAAAAATACATATTTTGATATTCAAATATCAAAATGCTCGTCATTTTATTACAGAAAATCACTGCACAACACATTCTACAGTCTTGATCCAGAGGGGTGTAAGCTAATGATATTAAAGTGCTCAGAACCAGGACCCTGATGTCATGCTTTGCATTGCCACAGGATCGACAGCATGTTTCAGCCAGAGCGGAAACCTCCTGTAAACATCTCCATATGCACCTTAACCACAGAAGGGGCTAATTCATGCATTTAATACAATACGAACAGATTAGATATTGTTAGAGGAGGGATGTGAATTGTATCATGCTGTTGAACCTACCAGCAGTGGCAAAAATTCACTGTAAAAAAGTGAAAAGTGACGACGTTTCAGCATTACATGAGCCATTTTGGTAGCTGTAGGCCTACTACATGTCACCGATGTGGTATTATACAGGCTACTAATTAAGCATTAACTAAACAACATAAAACAAGCTAATGTGCATAAGATTTCAAATCATGTGATGCTTCTGGGAACAAACCTTTGCACAAATTATATGGTGCCTTGCGTTTTTAATTAAAAAAACAACAACATGATTTTAACAATAGTTTACTGTAAAAGTAAATTATAAAATAATTTATATTTATATATTCTACATTTTTACATAGCCTATGCGCTATTTAAAAATAAAAAAACCCGTTAAGATACGCATATCTTAAAATTTGCAAAAAAATAAACCGAGCCAAACTGAGACACATCCTAATTTTAAAACACTTATATTACTATTGTATTTTAATAATAGTCAACGCTGCAAATGAATACTGATTTAAAAGTCAATAAGTAGAATATGTCCAAAGTTCATACAGTATCAGATCAGAAAACCTATATGTGTTTTCTGAATATTGTTGGACGATGTAAGCACTACTAAACAAAAATAAAAAAAAATCATCCAGTGTAGGCTATCATGTCTGTGTGTCCCAGTGGGGTGATTAAACAGACGCCGTGTTCCACTCGACTGCCTCCTTTCAGCAGCGCTCGTGTGTGTGTGTGTGTGTGTGCGCGCGCGCCTGTGATGCAGTACTCTGGTTATCTCATGCGCACCGACATTGCGCTTTCCGCCCCATTAGCTCCATCATTGCGTCTCTCTCATCAACACATAGCCAGAGAAGGGCCGAAAACGACAATGTCAGCAGATTTAAACTCAGGCTGATCTGGGTGTTCATGGCATGCACTGTATTTCCCCCCACAAAGCACTTGTACTATACACATTTTTATATAAACATAATATTATACTTATACTGTGAATATGTAGTGCCTGAAGTGATATCATGTAACTTTCATGATATCCATCCATCCATCCATCCATCCATCAAACTGCTTGGTTGTGCAGAGATGCTAGAGCTTATGCAGGCCATAGGTGATTTTTATATGATGATGTTGTCAAATTTGCATTATATACTTTACGTAGGTATCTGCCTGATCGTAGACAAGGGTTATTGCAGTATGTGTGTGAAGGCTGTTTTACACGTGAGAGTTTTAAAAGTCATTGAAATGGTCCCATTATATATCATGGCTTCTTCTTATAGTGAATTCTCAGGTTCCAAAGAAGGTTGTCCAGACCTGCCTTTGGGAAATGGGGATATGGCTGGTGCCATCGAGCTGAAGAGGCCCGTTGGAACTCATTGCCATGGGAAAAAAGCAGCCTGCGATGAGAGCCGTGAGAAACTCATAGCAAAGAAGAAACTGTACATCGCCTCCATAGTCTGTCTGGTTTTCATGATTGGAGAAGTTATAGGTAAGAACACAGTGTCTTTTAAGGAAAAGTATGGGGTTTATTAAATGTTAAAGCCAGAAATTCTTAAGAACTGCAATGTAACAATACTTCTATACATTCTAAATCACATTTTAAGTTGTGGCAAAGACTTACCACTGAGTTAAACTACTGCATATAAAAAAACATCAGCCATGCATTTAGCTTTGTCTTTGAGTGCAAAGTTGTTCTTTTCACGATAAATGCTCTGATTGCATTTCAAAACTAAGTAAATGATGAATTAAGCAATTTGTCATTGTAGCACAAAATTACTTGAAAAATGCTGGATCACAAAACCTTTTATTTTGTTCAGCCTGTACAGCACATTTTTTTTTGTCAGCATTCACAAGTGCAATACTTTAAAATATCATTCTTTCTTTTAAACAACAAAAGATTTATGCTGATGTTTAGGCTTTCTCCCAATCTATTTGCACCTTAATGATTTTACAAATTGTTGTGTAATGTTTTCAGAGTATAATAAAATAACTAAAGACATGTCAGAATGAATAACATTTATAGTGAAATCTATGGTTCCATGCAGAACCCTTAACATCGATGGAACCTTTACATTTCACAAAAGGTACTTTATAGTGGAAAAGGGTTCTTTAGATTTTAAAAATATATTATTCACACTAAGAAAAAAAAGGAATCGTTCACTGAAAGGTTCTTTGGGAAGCCAAAAATGGTTCTTCTATGGCAAAAACTTTATTTTTAGGAGTGTACCTCTCTTACCTTATTCTTCTTCTCTGCTGCTCTTGCAGGTGGTTATCTAGCACACAGTCTGGCCATTATGACCGATGCAGCGCACCTTCTGACGGATTTTGGCAGTATGATGGTCAGTATTTTTTCCTTGTGGATCTCCTCAAGACCACCCACCAAGAGAATGAACTTTGGCTGGCACAGATCAGGTGAGTCCATCCCATCTCAATCCTGACAAATGAATTTTACAAACATGGTTGATGTTGAAAATGTTCAATCTAAATCATGCCTATAAATTAAAGAAATATTTCACCCCAAAATAAAAACGAAGACAATTTTACTCCCCTCCATGTTGTTCCAAACCCATACGCAGTTTTTTCCCATGTAACAAAGGAGAAATGTTGAACAACTTTTTCCATGCAACATTAATTCATAGTGACCACATCTGTCTGTCAAGCTCTAAAAACAACACAAATATCACAAAAGAAATCTATACTGATGTGCTATATTCTTCATCTTCTGAGGTTATAAGATAGCTTTGAATGAGAAGCAGGCTGAAATTTAAGCGATTATTTTTGCATGAACTATTCCTTTAAAGCAGATTTGAAGACTTTGCAATATATGATGCCAAACCCTGTTTGTTTCAAATAAACGTCTCACAGAGATTCTGGGAGCCCTGGTATCTGTAATGTCCATCTGGATCGTGACTGGGGTGTTGGTCTACCTTGCCATTGAGAGGATAGTAAAAAATGATTATGAAATTGAAGGCAGTGTGATGCTCGTCACCTCAGGTTGTGCAGTCGTGGTCAACATCGTGTGAGTAAACAGACATTCCTACGAATTAGTTAAAGTTGGCATGAAACATAAGTTGCGATAGTCTTCTTTCCCCTATTGTGACGTATATCCGAGTGTAACTGCATGCTTCTCAAACAAGAACAAATGTAGGGCGGGACTTGATTGTGTCCATCGGGAATTGATCGGATGGTTGTGGTTTGCTATTGCTGTGATGTCATGTGAGTGACAGGTTGTCCCGCCCTCGCGCCAGAAAACACGAGAAGTTGTTTTTATTAACGATTACGAGTGCACATGAAAAAAATATAATGATGTGCACGGATAAATCATTTAGAATAAACACTGCAATATTCCATAAAAAAATTAGATTCGTCAATGTTGATTAATTGGTGACTTTAACATTGGAATTACAAGAAGCTACAGTAAAGTAGCAATACTTTTTGTATAATTTTGATATAAAATCTGTTATTAGAAATAAAGTCTTTAAGTATCAATTAAGCCATATAGGCCTACTGTACTATAAGATTGTATTTTCTATTCTGTTCAAGAGGCTATAGCTATATTTAATTTTTTTTTCTTTTAATTAAACAGATTGATAAATTGATATGCTTTTGTTTGCATTATTGTTTATATTCCAGAATGGCCTATATTCTCCACCATTCCACGACCTTCCACAGTCACGGTTCAGGCTACCACAAGATTGATGAGAATGGGATGAGCCCCGTGGGCCATGGCCACTCCCACAGCCTCCTGGGTAATCATGGGAACACCAGTGTCAGAGCAGCATTTATTCATGTTTTGGGGGATCTCTTACAGAGCTTTGGAGTCATGGTGGCCGCCATTATCATCTTCTTCAGGGTAAATTAACACTAACATAAAGAATCACCTTAAAAATGTCTCACCTCTGTCAAACCCTTAAAGACAATATAAAATGGCATTTACAGTGCAATCAACTTCCATTTGCCAATGAATCAGAATATTTTGTGTAAATAATGGACTTAAAAGTTGTTCCCTTTAAGCAATAGTAAGATCCAGGGATATTTATAAGCAAAAGGGGTCAATTATATTGTCTTTAAATATTTTGTTTTATTTAATGGCATAAAAAAAGGTTAACGAACAATATGTATTTGTTATTTTAAGAAAGAAAAGAAAGTAAGTATAAACTAATTATTTATATGCTGTTCATTTGAACTTTTTATCCATCAAAGAATCCTAATAAAAAATGACGGTTTCCACAAGTATAATAAAAAGCAGAAGTGTTTTCAACATCGATAATAATATAAGAAATGTTTCTTGAGCAGCAAATCAGCATATTAGAATGATTTCTGAAGGATCATGTGACACTGAAGACTGGAGTAGTGATGCTGAAAATTCAGCTTTGTCATCACAAGAATAAATTAAAATTATTTAATTAAAATTAATAAAAATTTCTATTAAAATAAAAAGGTTATTTTAAATTGTTATAATATTTTTTTTTTATCCTGTAAGAATATATTTTTTTTCATAAGATTCCTGTTTTTAAAAAACATGGGAAAATCCTACTGACCCCAAGTACCCCAAGTTTTTTTTTTTAAGTTATCAAATCACCATGATAAGGAATTGGACACGATTTCTTTCCCTGACTCTTGAAAGCACCTCAGTGGAGATAGTTTCTTCTGACATCGTAGTCTAACTCAATTTGACACTTTGCAAAGAACCATCTGATTTTGTTCTTTAATGCATCAGTACCTCCTGTTCTCTATCCAACTTCTAACACAGCCAGAATACAAAATAGCTGATCCCATTTGCACTTTCCTCTTCTCTGTGTTCGTCCTGGGCACCACCATTACCATTCTAAGAGATGTCTTCCGCATTCTCATGGAGGGTAATTTTCACATTTAATAAATTACAGTTGCATTATTCTCAATAACTTAAAATATGCATGCAATATCAGTATATGTTTTAGTTGCATATACACATGGTTTAAAAATCTCTATTTAAAGGTGAAGTGTGTAATGTCTGCGCCCCTAGTGACACCAAAGGCAATTTTGCAGAAATAATGACTGTTTCCAAACAAATTTCCCAAACACAATCCAGTCCCACAAAAGAAAAATGACACACATCACCTTTAAATGCAACCTATGAATCCCGCAGAAGATCTCCTGCTATACTTGTAAACTCAGTGTCATGTGTCTGTGTTCAGGAGTACCCAAAGGAATAGAGTTTAATTCAGTGAAGGAGGTGCTGCTGTCTCTGAAGGCAGTGAAGGCCATGCATAGCTTACACCTGTGGGCTCTCACCATAGGCCAGAGTCTGCTGTCTGTTCACATAGCTATTGGTAAGTTCATTACATAACACCTCAGTTATATTGTTATTGGTGTAATGTTCATTTGTCTTGTGCTTTATGCAAATTATTCATATTATTTATCTAAATCTGTTGAACATGTTATTTGGTACATCAATTACTTTATTTTATTTTAGGGCATAATGCAACAATATTTTTTAAATAAAATATATTTTTTCTTTTTAAATGATTGTTTTTATAAAAATATTGGTCAAATATCAATTTGCATGTAGCCATTTATCTATTTAGCTAAATTCCGCTGTTATTAAATAACAATTATATTGGAAATGAGTCTTCAAGGTCAGTATTCCAACTGTTTCAAATCACAATATTCAGTTTTTTTAACAGATTATTTTTTTTGGTGGGAAGGGGGTCAAAAATACAGAAAATAGTTGACAGTATATGTATCTGAATTCCCAAATTATCAAAATTTCAAGCTACAAATGGCATCTAAGAATGACAATAAATCCTTCCGCATTTCATCCTTTACTTCATTTCATTCAAGCACTGCGTCATCTACTTAAGCTAAACAAAACTGTTTTTTTCTCTCTCTCATTTTAGAGGAGAATGCTGACCCTCAGAGTGTCTTAAAGGAAGCCACTGAACTCCTTCAGACCAAATTTGGCTTTTACAGCACAACCATTCAAGTGGAGCCTTATTGCGAGGACATGATCCACTGCGTCCAGTGCCAGGACCCTACGGACTAAGTTCTCCGAGTGCACCGGTGAGGGGAGGCTGCCTGTATAAAATGTATGCACACATATTAAGCTTCATTGAGGGTCCAAGCCAGAAATGGAAACACTGTGCAAATGTATCATCTACATATCATTATGAATATGTACATGCCAAATGCATTTCTATCGATTACCAAGAAAATAAAAATAAAGAGATTTCACACTGTGCCATCTTAAAAGTGCATCGGTTTATGGGAGGAATAGCTTTAACATGAAGTGGTGAGGTTTAGCTTCACATACTGTATGCAAAGAGGAAGTGAACCGAGCGGTAGAACATAAATATGAGGCCTGGAGGCATCACTGTGAGCCTTTTTATTGTGAATTTGCAAGGTTTTGCTTGGATGGCATTGTACATTATTGCAGGAGTGTACTGTAATTGCCTGTCTGTGGTCTTAGGAGGGTAAAAGATGGGTATTGACGTGACTTCCTTAAAAACAATTAGAATGGGGTTTATTATGCCCCATCCAGCCTGGCGTCTGCTGTCAGCACGGTTCTGTAATCAATGTGAATGTCCGGCAAACTACGGCATGGTGTTGTAGGGCTTAAAAAGAGATTCTGCTCAAGTGTAATTATGGATTTTGTTGAGAGATCTCTCACTAATGTCTTGTCTCACGGTACAATACTATCTGCAAAAGCAAATGGGTGATTAACTCTGTTCTTCCTCACTGGCTGCGATAGTTAAGGACCTGTTGTTGTTGTTTTTAAGCGTGGCTTCATGGGGCTTTGAAAGAACGGCAGAGACAAAATGACAGATGACAGTAATCAACTAAGAATGATATTAAAGGTGAACTGTGTAATTTGAAATACTTTCTCTATCCCAGTTTCATGAGCAGAAACCAGGGGCCTCATTTATAAAATGTGCGTATGCACAGATTTGAACTTAAAAGGGTGCGCTAAAATCCACACCAAGGTTCATATTTTAAAAAACGGTCTTTACTCTACACACTGTTTCTTGTGGTAGAGAGTCGGAGTACTGCAGGTATTTGAAAATCTAAGCAATTCTTGCCGTTCGCCATTCTAAAGTAAAGGATTTGAACAAAGCCACTTGAAGGCAAGTCTGCAACCTCAGCTAAAAAAAGTATAACACCGTTTTTTTTTTTTAAATGGATGTCAATGGAGGAGAGGCTTCACTACACTGAATAAACCACTTTTGTGAGGAAATATCTTATTTAATGGATTGACAGCCCATTGGCTAATCTTCCAACATGTTTTCTCTTAAAAATTAGTTTTGGATTGATCTAATTTTAGAGTTTACACCTAAAAAATGCTGTTTTATAAGAGAAGTCACGAACAATTGTGCGACCTGTTTTCAGTTTGCGGCACTTCTCATTCATTTCTGTGGTATCTGCAAAAAGTGATTGACTGTCGCACAACGAAATTCAGAAGGCTGTAATGTGATTGGTTATCAAGGCACACGTGATCCAAGTTAGCCGTTATGCTTTTTCCAATGGCAGAGCCACGGATACCCTCATATCTCCCAATAATAAGACCATTTCTGGTGGAGATCTGAAACCATTCAGCTGCGCACAATTTCAAGATCATTTGTGATTTAGAAATGTCACACCTGGAAGAGAGATGTTTGCACGTTTTTTTTTGCTCGTTCTCTGAATCACACATATGCATATTATTTGAGAAATTATTGTAAGATCAAATGACGGTTTCTATGCAACATTTTATAAATGAAGCCCCTGTACAAGTAAAACATGTGTGGGTTAATATCCCAACAGATCTTCTAAATCAACCAATTGTGCGACTTTGAGGCGGGACTATCTACACAGAATGCAAATATCTGTGTATAGTTGACAAAATGTGCATTATATCACAGAAGAAACAGTGTTAGGTACTGTATATCTTTTTGGTTTTTATAATTTTCATGACTTATTTGGTCAGTCTGTCAAAAGTGATTTAAAATGCAATTTAATATTGTATTTAGATGATAACTGGATGCCACTTGCTGATTTGATTTATATATGCAATTTAGTACACTCAAAAAATTTAATCCTTTTTTAAAGCTGCTGTCCGTAGCTTTTTTTGGGTTAAGAATTATCCAAAATACATATTTGATAAAATACATAACCAGCCAGTGTTCAAAACTATCTGCTTGCCTTAGCTCGATGCAAAACGGTAAGCTTGTAATAATGTTTTTAATTGTAGTGGTAGGCTACTGGTGGAGATTCGAGCATGTCTTTGCGATCATTACGTCACATCTGTACACATAAAGAAGTATAAGCTATATTGCGTGTGAGGATGTTGGAGGTAGAGATTTATAGCCTTTTCTCACAGCACTTGATATAATTAAACTTATCAATTTGATGGCGGATCCAGAAAGGTTCAAACGACGATCATCATCAGTGACAACTAGAGACTCACCCGCTGTAAAATGCAAAAGACTTCGTTCGGACTTCGGAGTGGCTACAGAAAAAGAGACTGCAACCGGACCCATGCGAAAACAAGGATAATATCGGAAGGACATTACATGATGTAGTCACGCAATGCTTGCTGACGTTGTTAACATTAACAATTTGAGAACATAGTATAGCTACTTTGCACGGTTTTGCGTGAAATGATAATTTATAAGCAATTGTTAGATTTAATCAGCGCGATTTACTGCAATGTCAGAACCAGAACAAAAGTGAATGTTTCTTACTAGTTCAGATGACATTTCCCGGTGAAAATTGTTATGTTGGTCATACTTCCAAAAAGAATAATCTGTGATTCTGAATGACAATATCCACATCGGCGCGGTGACTGACAGCTGCACACTCTCCTCAAACATTGTGTTCATCCGCGCAGTGCCGTGTCGAGGGTGTTGAACTACAACCCACGTAAAGTTGATAATTCCGCGAATGACTGCAATTGCAGATTTCGAACAGAGATGGCGACAAAGAGGAAAAATGCCGGACTGCAGCTTTAAGATTTGCGCATTTCAATTAGTAAAAATCCAAATAATAATTGAATAACCAATTATTTGAATGCGTAAATCTTAAAAAAGGCGTAAAATGTGTTTTTAATGTACTTGCATACTAACCATACTAATACATTTCTGTATTTAAATAATATACATAAAATTATATTTCATTCTTGACAACAAACTGCCAAAAGTAAAGACATTTTTACACACAAATTGATTAAAAAAGGAAAACCAGTAGTATATTCAGTACACACTGCAGTGACTGCACACACAGTGTTCAATAAACTGCTATTCCATACATAGCAAGTGACTTATTTGTTTGAACAATGATTGATAATGAAGGGGAAATTAATTTTGCAGTTGCATTGGATGGCGCTAGTGGCACCGAAATTACATACTTCACCTTGTTAGGATGCTGTTGTGGGTCACTCTGGTTTGTCAAAGTCATTCATGCCACATCCTCCATATGCTCATGTCTTCAGGCTCTGTGCTGAGGTATAGGGAATAGCCTCTAGATACACACACTTTTTGCACAGGATTTCCATCTCTGATCTCTCGGTGCCGCCACACTGCCGCAATGACATTCCAGCAAGTGGTGCAACACGTTTCAGTAACATACAATAACAAAACACATGGTTTCCATTTTCACTGCAGTTTTCGTCTAAATGGATTTTGAAAATTATTATTTTGGTACCAATTTTCAGAGCCCCTAAATGTGCACTAATGTTCATTTACATTATATGTGAAGATTTGATATAAATAAAACACTGCATATAATTTGAGACTAATAAAAGACACACTTGACAGATAATCATTGTGTTTTAAAGCTTGCGTGTACTGATAAAATGTAGCCATTGTGATCTGTTGTGGCGTTGTGAAAGAGTTTTAAGGGTTTGCTTGCATGGTTGCTTTGTTTGTTTTTCATGTGTCTGCGATTTAGATGGCCAGTAATCATAACTGATCAACCCAGTGACCTCGCGATCTCACTGAAAGACCTTCATTAAATTCTATATTTTATCTATTTGTTTTGATAAAATGAATATCTATTTTAAATTTGAATATCACAGTCATTTATAAGAGAGTGCGAACAAATTATAATATGAAAGGACCAATGCATAAGTATTATATTTTTGATAATGTTGGTGGGTTGGTGTGCCAAAGTTCTACATTAAAAATGTAATATTCAAAGAAATCACAGTGGCCTAAAAGACAATTCACTGTGATGATTAGAACATGGGCCACTGTAATGCTGAACTATTTCTGTTAAAGTGTAGCAAACACTTAAACTGTATGTTACATGCTGTTTGATAACATTTCCAAATCTGATAATAACATTTCAAAAGATACAGTATATACACTCACCTAAAGGATTATTAGGAACACCATACTAATACTGTGTTTGACCCCCTTTCGCCTTCAGAACTGCCTTAATTCTACGTGGCATTGATTCAACAAGGTGCTGAAAGCATTCTTTAGAAATGTTGGCCCATATTGATAGGATAGCATCTTGCAGTTGATGGAGATTTTTGGGATGCACATCCAGGGCACGAAGCTCCCGTTCCACCACATCCCAAAGATGCTCTATTGGGTTGAGATCTGGTGACTGTGGGGGCCATTTTAGTACAGTGAACTCATTGTCATGTTCAAGAAACCAATTTGAAATGATTCGAGCTTTGTGACATGGTGCATTATCCTGCTGGAAGTAGCCATCAGAGGATGGGTACATGGTGGCCATAAAGTGATGGTGAGAAACAATGCTCAGGTAGGCCGTGGCATTTAAACGATGCCCAATTGGCACTAAGGGGCATAAAGTGTGCCAAGAAAACATCCCCCACACCATTACACCACCACCACCAGCCTGCACAGTAGTATCAAGGCATGATGGATCCATGTTCTCATTCTGTTTACGCCAAATTCTGACTCTACCATCTGAATGTCTCAACAGAAATCGAGACTCATCAGACCAGCAACATTTTTCCAGTCTTCAACTGTCCAATTTTGGTGAGCTCTTGCAAATTGTAGCCTCTTTTTCCTATTTGTAGTGGAGATAAGTGGTACCCGGTGGGGTCTTCTGCTGTTGTAGCCCATCCGCCTCAAGGTTGTGCGTGTTGTGGCTTCACAAATGCTTTGCTGCATACCTCGGTTGTAACGAGTGGTTATTTCAGTCAAAGTTGCTCTTCTATCAGCTTGAATCAGTCGGCCCATTCTCCTCTGACCTCTAGCATCAACAAGGCATTTTCGCCCACAGGACTGCCGCATACTGGATGTTTTTCCCTTTTCACACCATTCTCTGTAAACCCTAGAAATGGTTGTGCGTGAAAATCCCAGTAACTGAGCAGATTGTGAAATACTCAGACCGGCCCGTCTGGCACCAACAACCATACCACGCTCAAAATGGCTTAAATCACCTTTCTTTCCCATTCTGACATTCAGTTTGGAGTTCAGGAGATTGTCTTGACCAGGACCACACACCTAAATGCATTGAAGCAACTGCCATGTGATTGGTTGAATAGATAATTGCATTAATGAGAAATTGAACAGGTGTTCCAAATAATCCTTTAGGTGAGTGTATATATATAATGGAAATGTTATCAAACACCATGTAACATTTTAGAGTGAGACAACCACAAAACATCACAGAACTTAAAACATTAAGGATACTTAAAAGGCTAGTTTCACACTTTCACCAAAATACTGTCATGCTCACCCTCATGTTGTTCCAAACTTGCAAGACTTTTGTTCATCTTCGGGACACAAATGAAGATCTTTTGATGAAATCTGAGAGCTTTCTGTCCCTCCATTGACAGCTACACAACTACCACTTTGACGCTTCAAAAAGTTCATAAAGAGATCGTAAAACTAATCCATATCAATTGAGCGGTTTAGTCCAAATTTTCTGAAGAGACTCGATCGCTTTTATTCCATATATACATTGATCTGCGAATATAAACGGAAGCTCAACCGGATATGCTTGATGAGTGAGAACAAACCTCTTGAGGAAGCTCAAATGTGCTGCGTAACACAAGAATGAACCTCATTGGTTCTTGAGGAAGCTCAAATGTGCTGCGTAACACGAGAATGAACCTCATTGGTTCTCGCACGTCAAGCGAACATGTTTAAGCTTCTGTTCATTTGTGTTCTGAAGATGAACGAAAGTCTTATGGGTTTGGAATGACATAAGGGTGAAAAATGAATGATAGAATTTTCATTTTTGGGTGAACTATCCCTTTAAAATTTAACAGGAAGGCTGTTTCGAGTTCCAATACCAACAAAATATGTTGATCTAGGAACATGTCTTCCTAGTTGTGAATTTGCATCAACCTTAGATGCCAAAAATGCATCTCCGAGAAACATTTACTGATCAGATATTCTTAAAATAAAATACATCTTATAGGATTTCATAGTCACACAACAAAGGAGTGGAAAACACCCTCCTGGTATTATTTGCTAGAATTGGGAAAAATGTCTGTGAGCCCAGTTTGAATATTGCACACGTAGCATCACAACTCAAAAGATGAGATGAACATGATAAATCCAAAATCAATTTCAGATGCAGGTGCGCTCAACTTAAACTAAAGAAAGCTTCGAAAGTGATAGCAGAGTGTGACGTGGTACATCATTGGTCATGTTTTTGACATGTTCTGCATTTTGTGTCATGAACTGAAAGACATTAATGTTGTTCTGTGGAAACTGTAAATAATCGACATGATTATTTTCGCCGTGCCTCAGATTTGTGGATGTGTATACAAACTTGCTTCTTGTATAACCTTATCTGTCTATAGAAGTACTGTGTAAATGTTTTACAGTTATCCTGTATGTGACCACATAAAACCCCTATGTAAACCCGAAATTAATGATGGATATTTAATTTTTACATGCTTTTAATTTTATATGTCACATAACGTGTATGATTTTTGTAAGCTGTAATAAAATCATGTAAATCAAACAAACAATCTCCCACATTAATAATTACATCATGAGTTGATAATTAGTGCAATTTGCAAAGCAATTTGATCTAAAATGATGATGAAAAAAAAGACACTTTTCAGTAGCTGTAAACAATCAAGTAAATAGTACAAAAGAAATATCATTTACAAAGTATGAATATTCAATTATAAAACCTCCCAAATCTACTTACCATATCCAGAGCCTCACAGTGAGATTGAGATATTTAAATCAACACACTAATTTGAAATCCACTACAGACATAAACAGCAGCTTTATAATAAGCTTCCTTATTTAATCTTATCTGAGTGACCATGCAGCATTAATCTGACGGCCACCTCTCCATCTCTGGAGTCAATTATATTCACACACGCGTAATTGAGGTCATGAATTATGAGGCGGATATCAAAGTACATCTGATCTTAATGACTAACGAATGAGTGCTATTGGTTCAGGGACAACTTTAACTCACGTGCAGAATATAAACAGAATGATGCCCCTTACAACCCTGAGTAAGAAGTAAGCTCAAGCTGGAAAAGAGGTAATTAAGACTTTAAATGGGGGAGGGCAAACAATAATAACAATAACAAAGGACAACAAAGCTCAAGATGCAGAATTAAAGCAATAGTTCTGCCAAAAATTTGGACAATCTACTGACCCACGTGCCGTTTCAAAACCGGATGACTTTATTCCTTCTGTGGAACACAAAAGGAGAAATGTTCACGAATGTAATGGCCACTCTTTTCCATATAATGAAAGTGAATGGGGATCTGGGCTGTAAAAAAAAAAACTTTATTAGTTGTACTATATGAACAAAAACAGACCCTGGAAACAGACCCAAATTTAAGTTATTCAGTTATAATCTTCTCCTACACTGTAGCTCTCGTCTCATTTACGAAGCTGCACTGTGATTGGACAAGTAATCGTCAACGATTGGTCACCTTGCGTTGATGTCAGAACTAACATACTGTATCTAAAGAGTCCATATTTAAAAATATGTAGATGTGGACAGTAAATGGCAAGGTCACATCAAATTAATGTGTGGCTTCTGAAGAATTATGAATATGGACTAAGAATATAGACCATTTTGGTGCTTTTGGGTGTCATTTTGGAGCTTGGATGCCCCTTACATTTCCATTAAATGGAAAAATGTGCAAATGCATTCTTCAACATTTCTGTTTTCTTGTTCCACAGAAGAAATAAAGTCATACAGGTTTGGAAGGACATGATGATGACGTTACATTTTTGGGTTAACTATTCCTTTAAAATTGAGATTCAGGGTAAGAAATGCTAAAAGTAAAAACAACAGATCATGATATGATAGATAACAGGCTAGCAAATAGTTAAGATCCAGTCCAATGTTTTCGCACTACATGTCAAGGCTGTTGCATTTGATCACAATATAACACTGAACCCGGAACAGGAGGAAACGGAGAATATAGCTCCTCATAAATGAAACGGGTACTTTTAAGTGCTGACGATTTCATTGTCCACACACACCTTGGAAAGGACAAAACATTGAGATAACGATACTAACCTAAAAACATCACAACCCTCCTGTCTGAGCTTCACACCAGTGCAAAGAAGTTCAAAAGGTTTTCCTCTCTGTACAGCGCTAAAAACGAAATGCACAAAAATATAAAATCGGGAATATACAGATGCTTTGTATCAAAATAGTTTTTGCTTCATTCATTATAATTTAAGGATAAAAAGTGGGTGTATCAGTCATTTAAAAATAAGTCCAAAAGTATAAGCCTGTTATGACATCACAATCCATTGTAAGGTAGAGCAGAGACTAGCGCACTTGTACTGTATCCGCTGTGCTGTGACGAACAGCGGTCACAGAGTCATCGGGCTCCTGAGACTGGAACATGGCGCTGAACTGGGCTTGAGCCTCACGTAACTGCTTGAGCATGACAGAGCAGCTCAGTCCACGAGCGCAGTTCACACGCACCAAACCCGACTGACCGCCCGACAACACCCAGTTGTATGAATCCATGTTTGGGTTAAAACGCACCTGAGAGAGAAAGAGAGTAAAAAACACTAAATTTCTTAAGTAGATGTCACTGGTTTGTATCATTCACATCACATTCACATCAAGTGTTGAGTAGCTTGCATTTTGCTCTTGGTCAGCGTTAATTTTGGCCCCTGTGCAGATATATTTATGATCTAAATCAGATTAATTAGTAATTCCGAAAGGTCTGTTAAACCTTCTGTTCCTGCATGTCCTCTGTGGGTTACTGCACTATGCCGCCAGCAATAAAGCATTTTAGCACAGCTATAATCACTGTGTATGTGGCTCTGATGAACAATAAACACTTCTCTTGCTGGAAGACATCCAGTTCTGCCTGTAACTTCCTCCTTGGCCATAGTTTTCATTTCCAAAATAGGATTAAAGGGAGTATAATCAAACTTTTCCACATTTATTTTACACTACAGTTCAAAACAAACAAACACACATACACACATTCATACACACACACAGGAGATCTTCACTTTAACTTACGGGACCTTATTGTAAAGTGTTACCAACATTAATTGTACTCAAAATATATCAGTGCTGTCAAATCGATTAATCCCGATTAATTGCATCTAACAAAAAAGTTTGTTTATATAATGTGTGTGTGTTTATATAATGTGTGTGTGTGTGTGTGTGTGAGAATGTGTATATATATATATATATATATATATGTATGTGTGTACACACACACAGAAAGAGAGAGAAATATATCTAATATATATATATATATATAAATAAATATAATAATATATACACACATTAATGTAAACAAACTTTTATGTTAGATGCGATTAATTGCAATTAGACAGCACTAAAATATATATAATGAAATAAATATTTAAAATATATATTAAATATTACAAATTATATTATCAGAAATGTACTTTATATAGAGCAATACAAATAAATCATTACATCAATAAAATGCAACTGGCCATTTCTTACAATATCCTTATAACCATAAATGATCAAATGTTACATTGTGCAGTGTTTTATTCAGAAAGATCCACCATTTCAATCTACACAGGCTGCTTTTTGGCTCTCCTCCCATCATCCACTCTAGACCCAGAGTGACATTTTCCTAATTTTACAGGCCATTAGCTTCTGTCCATCTTCTTGCTTAACTCTCAGCAAACCACCAGCTCTTTCTCTCTCTCTTTCACTGGCCAGTGCAAACACTCCAGACAGCAGCGCACTGCCACTGATACATACAACTATAGCTTTTCCAGAGTGAGTAACAATATAGCTAATACAGGTTAAATCTCCACAAGGGCGTCAGCTGGTCTTGTTTACTGTTGTATAGATAAATGTGATCTCACCTTGTAGAGTGCGCTCAGTGGCATCTGGTCCACTTTAGCGACACCTTTGACCTCGTTTTCATGCAGGTGCTTCATCATGGGCCGATTTTCACACTTAGCAAAGTTCCCCTGACAGAGAGAAAAAACCCCAGCTGTTAACTCCAGTTAAGAGAGCACTAGATAGAAAGTACGGTTACTTACACTTATTATAGCGGATATCATCAACTACTTCACATTACTATCCGTGTCACGTTCAAAACTTTATTATCTCATAATAAGATTGCGCCTGAAACCCAGTGCGTCTAGTTTCAATCTCTCACAGTTTGAATTACTTTTATACGGTACAGTGCATCATTGGCAATTTTCACACAGCAGCAGAAAAAAAGTTGGTATAAAGGAAAATTACAAATGCATTCTAGAAATGAAGTGACTATGACAGTAAATATAATGACTTGCAGTTCAATCTACATCCAATCCTCACACAAAGTTATTGCAACGCTTCAGAAGACATTAAACATGTGCTGATATTATATTACAATTCTGGCTGATACCGCTAATAATTATTTTCATGATATGGCCGATAAACAATAAATGGATGGTATTATAATATTCTATTATGTCTATAATTATTAATATGTCTAAAATTTAAAACAAAACACAAACTAAATAAATATATTAATGTACAGTATAAATAATGGATATTCATTTTAAGATTTGCTACTTAATAGTGTTATTAAATTACTAGTATTATTAGATTAAAAATGTATTAGATTAGAACTTAAAGAGAGTGTTAGATGCCCAGACAATAAATGTAAAAATAAATAACAAATAAATAAATAAATGTTATTTTTTATTATTATTATTTTTTTACATTTACCTTTACTGTCTGGGGATCGAACACTCTTTATATATAAAGAGAGTGTATGTATGTGTGTATATATATATATAACAAAATTATCTAAAATCACTCAATACATTAAAATCTCTATTGTCTGCTGAATACATTTATGCATTTGCATTTAAGGTATACATTTTATCAATCCATGCATTCCCCTGGGAATCAAACCCATGACCTTGGTGTTGCTAGCATTCTGCTCTACCATTAATGCTTTAAAAAGGACATTTCCTTCCCAACTACTGCAGTTTATCCAACAGTGGTCACAGAGTAGTGCTACCATTCAGACCATTGTTCCTTTGCTGCCTGAATGTGTGTGTGTATGTGCAAGGATGACTGAGGAGAGTTCAATTAACCCAATTCAAACAGCTCTTGCCTGCTCCAGACCGTGGCCATGAAGTGGACATGTGCAGTGCGCCATGGATGGACGGACGGAGGGGGGTGGAGCGCTGGAGCGTGAGAGGGCAGAACAGATGGAGCATCTCTGTGATGGGGGTAGGCCTCCAGGCGGGTATGACTTTAAATTAATGAAGGGTGCAGAACTTAATCAACATATAACCCATGAGATGCGGGATGAGGGATACGAGAGAGAGGGGTGCCAAGAGGGTAACACGCAGACAGCACACCTGGGCTCTCAACTGTGTCTCCTGTACTCGCTCAGGTGTGCTGGGAAAATAACTAAGCCAATAAATCCAGCCCGGCCACGGCTCCTGCACAGTCCGTGTGTAATGATCTGTGGAATAGGCTGCAGTACACAGTAGCCATCACACACAGATCATACACACACAGCCTTTATCATATACACACATATTAGTGAGGCCACTGATGGATTTTTACATGGTCTTGCAAACGCATACTTCGTACACAGAAAAACATACAGAAAATCAAGTGCGTAACTATTATTAAAACTGGGATGGACACACCCCTCCCACTTTCAGGAATGTACCCCACTTTTTTTAAATTTTGAGAGTTTTTTTTTTTGTTTGGTCGAAGTGCAAAGACAAAAATGTAGTCGGTCAAATAAAACAACAGCTTCAACAAACCCTAATATGGCTAGCGTCCACCTGCTTTTCAGCAAATCAGTTATGAATATTAACAATACATCACCTAAATAATATTCATGAGCCAGGACAATAAGAGCCCTTTACTTTTCCAAAAAAATATTTCGTTTGGTGCAGAGCTCTGGTGAAAGTGAAAGAAAATAGCTTAAGTGGCAACAAAAGATCAATACTCTCAAAATCTGATTTCCTACATAATTTCCCAAGCACAGAGATATGTCATGAAGAAAACTGCTCTACCGCTCGACGATGAAGTTAAACAATGAATCCTGTTTTTGAGTTTCTCACCAGGTCCAAGTCATGAAAGTGGAGATAGTACTTTCTGACTGCTCCTTTGTAGGTCAATGGCTCCTTCCTAGGGTTATTTGGAGCGTTTTCCATGTCCTCCTCCTCTTCCTCATCTCCAGGCCTCTCACCGGGTTCAAACTGGACCATGTCAGTCCTGTACACTGACTGTGGGGATTATGCAAAATGGTCAATGTTAATTTAAGTCTTTAATATGTGGGAATTCAATTAAGGATAAAAAAAAAAAAAAAAAACCTACATATCTCCGTCGTCTGATAGTGTTGGGGTCCATATCCATTTCAGGAAGCAAACTAAACAAACAATCTCCTCCATTGTCCGAAACAGCAAAAGTATTCATCCAATCAGACATAGACAGGCTCTGAAAGAGAGAGTCGTTTTGTCATTATTAGACAATTGTGATTATATTAAACCATGTCGAGATAATCTTGTGAAATGTCCACGTACCCAAATAGTGGCTTTTCTAGGACACACAAAGTAAGGCTTAATTCCAAGGTAACCTGAATCAAAATAATGCACTCCATGTTGCCCAAACCTACACAAAGCAAAGGAAAAAAAATATTTGATAAGAATATAAATACAATGCCTGACTTAAAACTTTATATCATATATTCAGAAGAGCAAAAATGTATAGACTCACGTGGCAAAGCAACACTCTTGAGCCATCAGGAAGCCGCTCCAAAAGAGGGGCCAGTACACTTCAGGGGACAGGCAGCGCTTTACTGCCAAAAGAGGCACGTAGGCTTTCCTCACATCCCACATTTTAGCCATGCGATCATCTCCGACTGTCACCAACAAGTTACTTCCCAACCACAGTAGATAAAAACATATGTAATTCATGTTTTTCACACCTCATCACAATTACAAACAGAGTAACAGACCAATAATTTTAACAATATTCCCAGTAATCTTGCTAGCGACATGCTCTCCAGGTACACTACCAATCAAAAGTTAAAGTAAATATTGTGAAATATTTTTACTAATTAAAATAACCACTTTCTATTTCATGATACAGCATGTTAAAATATAATTGATTCCTGTGATGTCAAAGCTGAATTTACACATCACATGATCCTTTAGAAATCATTTTAATATGCAGATTTGGTGCTAAAGAAAGATTTCTTATAATTATCAATGTTGAAAACAGTTGTGCTGCTTCATATTTTTGTGGAAACTGTGATACATTTGTTTCAGGATTCCTTGATGAATAGAAAGTTCAAAAGAACAGCATTTATTTGAAATAGAAATCTTTTGTAACATTATAAAAGTCTTTACTGTCACTTTAATTTAACGCATCCTTGCTGAATAACTTCTTTAAAAATAAAATCCTTCTGACCCCAGATGCTGTCCTCTGAGCATCTGGACAGTAAAAGGGCACAAGAGACAGCTGATCCCCCCTCAAACCCTCCGGCTTGAACGCTTCAAATTGGGTGCATGGTACGGCTGCTCGTTTATAGCAAAAACCATAAACACGATTATTTTTGCTCAATATTGAAATCACGATTATCGCACATGATTATTGGTGGGCGATATGATCAAAGTCTTATTTCACGAAATGAGTCATTGGAAATATCAGTGAAATTTCACAATAATTCGACTTTTTTACTATAGCAAAAACTAATACTAGACTAACTAGTGTAAGAAAAAGACAACATCCAAATCAGCCAAATAAGTGAGTGATGTAAAATGCAAAGTTTGGGCTTTTTAGGGAGTGAAGGAAAGGAAGGTGTGCTGGACAGAATGCGGCAGCGGAACAATGATCGCTTTACCTCGATTATCTTGTTTTCGTTATCGTTGGAAGCCAAAATCGAAATCAATTCCGATTAATCGCACAGCCCTAGTGCATGCATACAAATTGCAACCTTTAAAGCATTTTCTTTAGGTGTATCTGAATTCTACATGAGCAGTCACATTTAAAGAGCTTAAAGCACAAGAAAAATAAAATCAAAATCAAAACACAAGAAATCTCCACTTGATTTCACTAGCCTCCTGTGGGGCAGAGGGATAGGGTGTCATTTTCCAAATGAACTTCTCTAATGCCACTTACAGCAGTCTTTTATAAGGTCACAGCTCTTTAAATCGAAATGCTACGAACAGGCTGTTGAAACTACTGATGCTGAAACAATGTGTGATGCTATATGATGAAATATATTTGATCTAGACTGCTTCTCTGTTGCTAAATGAGAAAACTCCATGGGCGGGCTCATCACAAAATACACCACAAATACCAATGACAAAAAAAAACTGGATACTACAATTTCATATAAATAATAGCCAAGTCCACACCAAACGTCTGACTGCACAACAGGTGATTCTCACCTCGAGGCTTTGCACCAGGTCAGGGTTCGGATGTTCTCGTCGTGGGCATGAAAACAGTGGTAAGGGAAGAGAGACACAACTCCATCTGGAGACTTGACTCTCAGTAGTGTAGACTTGCTAGCAAGATCCCACAAACCAACCAGACCTGGAAAAGAGAAAATGAGGTGAAACATCACAAACGTAAAATATTGCGACATAAAGAAACAAAGATATTTACATTTTTACAATTCTCTTTAGAAAAACAAATAGACAATATTAAATTACCATCATAGAAGCCAGCTGCCAAGAGGTTATGTGGCTTGACATGGAGCCAATCCATAGCAAAGCACAGGCCACTTTGACCTTTATGATCTGCCTGGTTGGAGCCCATCTTCAAACAAAGCGTCTTCTTCACCTGCAAAAACACACCATCATAAAACAGGTCATATAACACTGATCTAGAACACTTCCTCTATCTGCAATAATTTCAAAATTAATGGTATACCAAATTCAGGGTTCCAGCTTTTGACCAATGAATATCCATGACTTTACAATGTTTTTCCATGATTACCACATATAAATTTCCTACATTTTAAGTTAAGTTAAAAATATATATATATTACATATAATACACAATGTTTTTTATGACAATGCAAAATATAGTGCAAAAATAGTGCATACATTTTTAAGCAGTGCTAAAATATTTAAGATGCTCTAAATAATAGAAAACGGGTAGAAATTATGTATTTTTTTTAAATAAAATGTATTTCTAAAAATACATTTCTAGCTGTTTTAAAAATATATATATTTTAGATCAAAGCACAGCTTAAAAATGTATATGCACTATAGAAATTCCCATTTATATAAAATATACAAAAATGTATAGAAACAACCCACTATAGAAATTATAGAACTATGTTTATGAAAATATTATTATTACCATTTAATATTTACACTATATATTTTATTAAATCACATTTTTAAATTCTTAGTTCTATTTTTAGTTCTATAAAGCTATTTCCTTCTGCCCTTATCCAAGAAAAAGATTAGATTAATCCTTCACTCTACACTTAACACTTAGTTTGAGAAGGTCCTTCTACCATGACAGCTAATTTCCAGAAGATCACCTCTTGGATGCTTGAAAATGTTACGTAGATGGCTCATAAAATGCCCCAGAGGAGCCATAACCAGAACAGTTTTAGTGAAAAACCACTTCAAAAATTGTGAAATTAAGCTACAGTGAAAATGACACGTCAGATTCAAGCAAGCATTCCAATGATCTCTTGCCATTCTACCTTTACATCAGTTGCTTTAGGTTTGATGCAATGACTGTGTAATACAGTATGTGTTTTAATGTGTGTGAAACAAAGACTGAGGTCTTAACTGTGAAAATAAGAAGCATGCTGGCAGAGAGTGGATATTGACCTACCCGGCATATCAGCGGTGCTTGGCTGGTTTCTCCTATTGGAAAACACATAAATGTGTTCAATGTGCGCTTATAGATAGGAGCATTACTATTCAACACATGACTGCATTTATCAAGAAAAACAATCAAAGGAACAAGGATCTGTGAACAAGGATGTGCTTAACTGAAATAATGGAAAGTATAAACAAGCAGCAATTTAACAATGTCATCATTTAAAGGGGTCAAATACAGTGCATTTTATCATATAGAGTTTTTTTCCCCCATTAAAAAGTCACAATTTAGTTTTCATCACCATTTTCCACTTGCTCTCCTGTACTATTAGGATCAAATGGTCTGTTTTTGCTACCATCCCTTTAAGACTCCTGCGTAAAATCTCTATAGCTGTAGAGGTTGTGCTTTTATTTATAAATAAATAATACTTTAAAAAAAATCTACTAATCTACTAAAAACTCCAATTAGTGTTTCTTGAACAAAAAATGAGAACGAATCTCCAAGTTCTTTAAACAGTGATTCATATTCTCATTAAGCAGAGAATAAAAACAAAAGAGAAGTGCTAGAGGTGGTGAATGAAACTGTGTGTCTATGGTCAGACACTGTGTCTATGGACAATGAAACTGTGTGTCTATGGTCAGACAATGTGCGCATGGACAGAGTGTGTGTGTATGGGAGTAGAGTGCAGAAGTGATATATTGCCGCATGGCTTCAGGTCCGAGCCGTACACAGAGGTGACGGGTCGATCAGGTCGATAAAGCATCGCACCTCTGATCCACTCATTCAGACAGCCCTGATCACGGGCCCTTTCTCCAGGCTGACTAAGGTCTTTTTGATTGACAGGCCAGGAGGAAACGGGTGTCAGGTATTCGGCTGAAATTCATGGCCTCAAACACTAATAACTGTGTAGCGATGCATCTTTTTTGTCATTTCAATTATAGATCCTTGTCTGATGAAAACAAGCCAGTAAATTATCTCCATTGAGAAGGGAGGAGTCAGCGTCTCCCTCGTCACCTTTTGCGGGACACCTTTTCACTCCACAGAAAACCTATTTATAATTATCTAGCATAAACCTTCCAAACCCGAGACCATACATGGAAAGTGGGAATGTGGTTAACTGTTTTATCACTAGGTTTTTGAAACGTGTCCTATAATTGCTACTGTGAGTCCTTTTCAAATCAATGGACAATCCAATAATCAATCTACAGTACGAAAAGGTTCAAATGAATGTTCATGTGATATAATAAAATGAATGGCATGAAATTAGAACAAAATGTTTAATAAACAAAAACCTAAAGTAAAATAAAAACGAAGAGAAAAACAAGGAGATGTACAAAAACAAATGAAGCAATAAAAAAATACATTTAATCCAATATATAAACAAATTAAAATAATAATTTATAATAAATTTGTATTTATTACAGAATAAACAAAATATTAATAAATAAAACCTAAATAAAAGGACAATAAAAACTATATAAATTAAACTAATAAAATTACAATAAAACCAGAATAAAAAAATAAATAAAATGACAATATAAACAAAAACCAATAAAAACACAATTAAATTACAATAAAAAACAAAAACAAAATGAACATAAAAACAACTAAAACTGAAAAAAAAAAACAATACACAATAACCAAACCAATAAAAACAAAAATAAAAAAAATAAAAATGTAATTTTTCCTAATAAATAAATATTCAGTAAATATAACAAATATTAGCTAAATATGAATAAATTACCTAAAAAAATATATAAAGACAAAAAAAGAAAGCAAAAAATATATATTTTAACAAAACATAAATAAAAACCTATAAAATATATAAACAAACCAAAAATATTTTGATTTTCATATACATGAAAATCTCCCCAATGATCTCCCCAACATACTCACTCCAACATACTCACTCCAACACACACACACACACACACACACACGCCAAAGAGCAGGTCTGAGGTCTGACAGAAGGATTGTGCGTTCAGTAATGAAGGTTAATTCCCTGAGGGATCCAAAAGTTCTTGGCCAGAGACTCCAGGAGAGCGAGTCCAGTAAAAACCACAAACAGAGCCATGAACAGTGCCTCAACAAAACAGTTTCCAAAACCAGTGTGTAGATGTTAAACTGGTGGAGTGTGAGAAGCAATTTCTGTAATAATATCCGGAAAATACAAGAGCGAGAGAAGGAATAGCTTTGTAAAGGTCATAGAGAACTTCTTTTAGTTGAACAATATCCAGGCATTCCTTCAGAATTTACAACACAGAGAAATAAAATGCAAGCGGTGCAGTAACCATTTCAGTCCAGATCTAAGTGATACACATTCAACCAGGATTTCTTTTTCTCAAATTCCCTTTTAAATTCAAGACTCAACTTGAAGAAGAATTAACGCTCACTAACAGCTTCAGTCCTTTGAGAGAAAGAGGTTTTTAAAGAAAGCATTTGTTACATCCGAACAGTTCTTCTGGCCTCAGGAAAGTGGAATTAAGAAAGCATTAAAGCTTAGAGTAGGATCGATGAATTAGAAGCTTGCAAACAGGGAGAATAAGACACTGGCAGCACTGAAGAAACAGAGACGGTTCATTTAAGAACGTGGGCAGTTCTTATCTCCACTGGAGCAGGGCCCCGAGTCTACCACACCGAGGGCCCCTGAGGGACCAGAAGGACGGACCATATCACTACTCAATAACTAGAGAAACCTAGTACAAAAGCTGAATGTCTGAATGATAAATAGTGAGGACGGCCATGAAATTGCCCGTTTACTAGTGTATTAAGTGGAAAAGTCCATTAATTCCACTAAAATTCTATTATATTTCCAGGATTTCAATAGCCATGAGAAGCCCTATATGAATATTGTTTCTTGATCAAATTAAATTTGATTAAAAAAAATTAGATACAGTTTACAACTGTTCAAAATTTTGGGGTACATTTTTTCATGTTTTTGAAATAAGTCTCTTACCCCTCCAAGGCTGCATTTATTTGATCAAACATTTTTTTATTTTTTTACAATTTAAAACAAGTGTTTTGTATTTGAATATACTTTAAAATGTCATTTATTTCTGTGATGGAAAAGCTGGATTTTTTTTTTAGCATCATTACTCCAGTCTTCAGAAATCATTCTAATATGCTGCTTTTACTGATCAAGAAACATTTCTTGTTTTTATCAAGGTTGAAAACAGCTGCAAATAATTAATTACTTAAAAAAAATAAAGTACGTAAACCATTAAAGATCATAGCAAACACAATTTTGCATTACTGTATCATAAAATTGTGTAAGTCAGAACAATAAGTTGCGAGAGAATGATTTTGCTGCCGTATCAGAATGTTTCCATGATGTTTAAAGCCTGCTACAGAACTCTGCCATGTTAAGTTACTAGTTAAATCGCAGTGGTATGGAAACTGTTAATGCTTTGCTTTTCACCGGGTACAAACCTGCAACCTTTTCAATTAGCAGCCTTGTTATTTAACAGGTACACTACATAACTCATTATAAATATATTATCAGCTCTTGAGATGTGATGGATTGTTGGCTGTATGCTCAATCAATTAAAATATGATATGCATTCATCATGTTAACCAATGACTGGCATCTGGATACAGAACACAGTACCAGCAGATCAGTGCAAGAGGGAGATCTCTTTCACACACGCAAACCTTTTATTATTTATTGTTTTATTATTATACTGTACAAACTGTATAATACCCCTAAACCTATCCCAAATGACTGTTATTACTATCCTTGTGGGGTGAGGTCATTCGGTCTCAATAACGTAGGGAATACCAGGACCACACACACACACACACACACACACACACACACACAATTAGTGAGGGCGTAGACTTCCATAGATTTTATATCAAGTTAATAATATTTTCTATCCCCTAACCCAACTCCTATCCCTAAACCGACCCATCACAGAAACACGTGCAAAACACTAGATTTTAATAAAAAAAAAATGTTTTAACAAGTGAGGACCAGTAAAATATCCTCACAAGTCGGTTGTCATAATATATAAGTGAGGACATTTGGTCCGCTCACAACATATCTTAACCTGTACCTGTACCCACACACAGACACACATTCTTTCTTGTTCTCTCTCTCTGTTTCTAGTTATTTGCTGGCATCATTCGTGAGTCAAAAGGATCTTTATAATTCAACCAAGGCTGTATATAATACCTGTAGAAATCTATCCGTTAACAATCCCATTCAGTGTACGCAATTTGTATTCTGTGACATCAAAAACAGCATAATATAAAAAAAATGCTTGCTATACATTTTTCATGCAAAGATTTTCATATAGTCAGAAAGACTAACATGTTTGAATAGTGATTGAAAAAGTATGATTTTTGCTTTCAGAATGGTCAACTTCTCATAAAACAGACTCGGCTATGAGGAGCGGTTTAACTGTGGACAAGCGACATACCGCTGCTGTGAAAAGGGGGGCCTCTAATCAAACGGCGGTGGAACTCATATAGGCACTAGACCCTCCCTCCTTTTTCCTAGCTCTCTTACTGTGACCGTGATGAATGAGAAGCCCTGGGAGGGTAATCTTTTGCAAACACACACACAAACAGTACAGATAATGTGTTTAAGAGAATAAAGAAAAGAGAAAAACAGGGAATGATGCAGTGAACGACAGGTCATCAGTCTGTTCCCAGCACTACCTGAGGAGAGGACATTACGAGCTCCCACGGGACAATCAGCCTGCGCTGGCCATTTTATCAGTGCATGTGGCCTTAAGATGGGCAATGAAATAAAATAACATCCCACGATCCACATTTAAGAGCCTGAATACCTTCAGAAAATATTTGTTTGAAAGTCTGTAGTAAAATACCACACCTTGACTAAAATTGTAAATATACTTACAGGGTAAAATAATAATAATTATCATTATTACTAATTAATTAATTAATTAATAGACAAAATGAAATCAAACAATTATAACAACAATCAATCAATACATAAATAAATTCCATTATTCTTCCAAACAATTTCAGTAAATTTAGTTTGTTCTGTTCTGTTTTCCAATGTAATAAAAATAAAGAAAAGACATCATGCGATATAGATTTGATTGTTAGATAGTTTGTTTAGTGCTAGTAAGAAAAATGCATTATAGCACTTGGCTTGGGACTCTTCTGTCTTGTGCTGTCCTCTTCTGGAAGGATCAACACATTGCACATGAAAACACTGGGTGCTTCTAAATCATGAGTGTCCAATCAGGAATGGCCACCTTCCATCAGAGTCTAGCCTCAACCCGAATTAAACATCTGAACAAGCTAATCGAGGTCTATAGGATCACTAGAAACTTGTTGAAGCTAAACGCTATAGGGGAAGTTGGCCCTCCCGGAGCAGGATTGGACACCCCTGTTCTTAAAAAACAGCCAAGTGTCACACAGAGAGTGTTAAAATAGTCCTGACAAACTAAACATTGACTGTCCTTGGCACAAGTATTTTAAGTGGACCTGATATGACCCCGTTAAAGAAATGCATTTACCCATTCTCTCACCTTTACTTTGATGGTGTGCTGCAAGGGCTTCTGGGTGTGGAAGACTGTAGACACCGATGGTTCCATTAGAGAAAGCTGCTGCTAGAAGACCTAATCTAGGCATTTGTGGAGCCTGACAAAAATGAAAACACATTTACATCATCACAATCAAAAAAGAAAAAAAGATCACAGAAAAGTATTAAGAAGAATGTTCTCACAAACACAATTAATTTGAAAGCATTATTTTAATACATTTTTGTTCAATACAAAATTATAATTTTTTTCTTTTAAAGGTACACTATGTAACATACGGCCCTCTAGCGGTTAAAAAAACAAAACTGAATGCATTTTGCGGAAGTACATTGTTTTGGTTGTGTGACTGTTTGGATAATTATGACCTTTTCGAAAAGCCAAGCCAATGTTGATTCTCATTTTATTACGAGCTCTGCCAGCAGAGTCTCATCTGTTCCCCGGAGATTTGAGATTTAGCGGCTCCATGTCAACCTTTCTCGCTCATTGTGACAACTAACCTCTGCCACTCCCACACCATACACTCGTCAAAGTAGCCGGTGCAGCTTTTCTCTATTTATGGATATGACACGCAGGTGCCACGCGAGTGATGCATGTATGCAAATTCCTGCGAAAACCATCTCGACAGGTCTAAAATATAAACTGTTATACTAATATGCTTACCATAGTGAATCAGGGTAAGACAAAAACACATTTTGTAAGAAGGGTTGATGTATCGATTTAAATTTGGTTAATTCTGAACCAAAAAAGATACATTCAACACACTCCTTTAAATTTTCTTAAGACTATTTGGTCTAATGTCATTTCTTACCTTTCTGCTGGTGGAGGGCAGCTCCCACACTCCTGCAGGACACCACTTTATATTCCAGATGCATCCGTCATCGATCGCTAGAGCATATGCTAGATGAGGAGCAGTTGAGGGCCTGAAGTGGGCAGATAAGAGTGTCAGAAATTACTATTTTATTATAAGCCCAACACGCCATACATATTTCCTCTTAAAGCCAATCTGTAAGTGCCTTATCTTGGTCACCTGCTTTTACACTGAAGGTCTCCGATGTCCCACAGCTGCAGTAAGACAGGACCTGAGTACAGGTTGTTGATTTTGTGTTTGTCATCCATGCCTTTGTGGCAGTAGATGGCGGCATACTGTCTTTTTGCTGCCCCGTCAGGACATGGGCACCACTCCATGGACCGCACAGGACCCCCCACAAAGAACAGAGTGTCCCAGCGCTCAGAATGATGTGGCAATGATTCAAACCTGCAGACATTTTTTCATGAGAGCAGATATACAATACAATTTAAACGTTTGAGGTCAGTAAGACTATTTTTAAAATAAATGAATACTTTTATTCTGCATTATTCAGAATTGATGTTCTTTTAAATGTTCTATCCATCAAGGAACACTGAAAAAAACACACAGTTTTCACATTTTCTCAAAAGTATTAACCAGCAAAATTGTTTTCAACATTTATGATAATAATAAGTGCACCAAATCAGCATATTAGAATGATTTCTGGTGGATCATGTGACACTGAAGAATTGAGTAATGATGCTGAAAATTCAGCTTTGCCATCACATGAATAAGTTTAAAATATATTAAAATAGAAAACAGTTGTTTGTGTAAACAAATATATTTTTTTAAATAAATGCAGCCTTGGTGAGCATAAAAGAAAACTTTTAAAAACATTAAAAACCGTGCCGACCCCAAACTCTTAAACGGTAGTGTACTAATAATAAAAATAAAAATAAATAATTTAAAAATGAAAAGAATCAAAATAAAACACTTACGAAAAAAGATGAAATATTTGATCAATTAACCAAACAATAACTAGCAACAGAGAAAATGTGAATGTGTAGTTACATTTTTTAAAAGTTGATCTCAGGAATACTTATTTTAACTATTTTAGGTCAAAGGGGACTGACTGAGAAAAAAAAGTTTGGGAATCCCGCCTGTACTAGCTGAAATTAATTGTAACAGATCTCATTTATTAATAATGGCAACAATCACACCATGTAAAAAATATTTGTATGAAAGAGACAATGACAGCAACTGTCAGTGTCATTCCTTTGCGTACTAGCAAACAACAGGATGATTTAATCACTGTCAGTAGCTGTTTCCATCCAAAGTTGCGAATGTAACTTATGTGCAAAAGAGAAAAACGAGAAAAGAGAACAAAATCGTCACTTCCTGTGAAATTGCATTATCAAATCAACTTTGATGACAGACGTTTGCCTCAAGCATTTCAGAATGATAAAACCAACATTTGAGATGACCGTGCAATGAAACCGATCCACTGGTTAGTCCAGTTATCCAATCACATCCTCTGTAGAGGTGAAGTCACATGAGTTTTTTGCTGCGCATTGAGGGATTTATTCAGTAAATGTGTTTCCATCGTAGTTTATTCGCGTGTCTTCTTATCAGATAAAAAAAAAGAAAAAGTAGCCGCCTCAATTGAGAGCATACGTTTGTAATGCGCATTTTTAGAATTTATTAACATTTTGGCATTTCCAATCCAGTGTTTTTTATACGATATCCCAAAATGCACATGATAAGTGGATAGCAACTGTGAATGCAATTTTAAAGAACCAAAGCGTGTTAGTGGAAACTTACAAGTGATATCTTACCTTTTCACTGTTTGCAGTTTGATCCGTCCCTTGATTTTTTCCCGAGTAAAGGTAAAAGAGGCAGATTCTTTCTCTTGGGGTAAATATTTTTCAGCCTCACTGTTAATCAAAACAAACACCTGTTATGACAATTTCTTTGTTTCCATGGATATTATGTGGTATTTAGCTATACTAATACCTGCTGGACAGGAAATGCCAATCTTTGGCAGAAGGAATCCACTCAGGAAACACCCAGGGGGAAAAGTTTTCATCCCGGCTAGCATTTAGTAAAAGAAGGAAAAGATACAAGTGATACCGATATTTTAAATTGCTAAAATGGCAATTCTTACATAATCTTGTAGAAAGTGTATAGCTTACAATGATTTGGTCCTACTAAAACAGTTCCAGACAGGCTCCATCACATTGTTAGCCAAGCCGTTTGGAAGCAGACACTGCTGATGAGCAGAACATAATTAAAAAATTAGACCACACATATATGGAAATCAATGTCAATAACAGACCAAAGAGTATTGGACAATAAACTCACATAATTTCCTCTGGATGGTCTGCTTTTGCGCTCCACGTTCAAGCTGAAGTCTGGCTCTGAATCTTCTTCCTCTTCACTCTCTGCCCCTTCATCCTTTCCTGGGGAAAAATCCTCATCATCATCCAAGTCGCTGTCATACTCTGGAGTTTTCCTTTTCGTCCCCCTTCCCCTTGCTGCATTCTTTTTCTTGGAGGTGCTGTTCGCTTCACCAGATTCGGCCCTATCTTTTGTTGATTGAGTCCCGAGATCCTTGGCCAGCTTGTGAAGATAATCTAAAGCACTGATCAAGATGAAAAAAATTTGATGAATTAAGAAGACCATTATTACAAAATTAGCAGCTGATCAGGACAAATCAGTTTCTAAAGAAAATACATCAAGGTTTGTGCCTTGAGGGAAGGACAATGACAACATCATTTAAATACTCAAGGCACAATATTTTTTACACACCAAGACCTGGTTTCACAGACAGGGATTAGATTAAAGGATAGTTTACCCAAATATGAAAATTCTGTCATCCTTTACTCACCCTCAAGCTGTTTCAAACCTGTATTAATTTCTTACTTCTGTTGAACACAAAAGAAGATATTTTGAAGAATGTCGGTAGCCAAACATTTGATGGATCCCATCGATGTTTTTTTTTTTTCCTACTATGGAAGTCAATGGGATCCATATCAACTGTCTGGTTACTGACATTCTTCAAAATATCTTCCTTTGTGTAGCGCAGAAGTAGGAAATTAATACAGGTTAAACAACTTGAGGGTGAGTAAATGATGACAGAATTTAAATTTTTAAGTGAACTATTCCTTTAAGCCAGAATTAGACCTTCAGTTAGGACATTTAAGTAGTTTTTATAAACATGCCTTAGAAAAAAAAAAATTACTGGTGTGCATCTTGAGATAAAACAAGTTGATTTCAGTAAAAACAGCTCAAACATGCATTTTAGTCTGGGACTAGCTTAAACCTGGTCTGTGAAACAAGGGGTGAGTTCCAGGTTAAACTGGACTGCGCATAGTTAGCAAGCAAGAAGCAGCTTTTTGTGTGTACTTTGACACGTTGACTTCAATCTATTTCCATCTATGTTTTTGCTACTGCAAATTTTAAGACACTTTGTGAATAGCTCAATGGTAAGCATGTTGGGTTACGCAACGTGGAATAACCAAGTTCAAGTCCTGATCAGAACACTTCATCTGACCATTGATTTTTCTAGAGCAAGATATATTTAATCCAGCAATATACCGTATACTATACATTCATATAATCTATACATGCTGTATAAATATGTGGGAAACTGCATAAAACTGGAGAGCATACACTTTAGCAGCTCTCCTCTTGGGCCGACCACTAGCAGTGAGGTCAGAAGTATCAGAGATTGCTGAATTGTCATGTTGTGGTGGAGTCTGTGGAATGATCTCCTTTCTCCTCCTTTTGACAGGAGCCTTTGCCTTAGAACCTTGATTCTTTTGGTTTCCCTCTGTATTAACTGGGCTTTCCTGGTCCACACCTGGGGGAACCTGGGAGGTCCGTCCTAGAAAAGAAAGTCATAATAAAAGATTCATGAACACAGTGGGAATTAGATCCATTTCTGAGTATTTATTCACTTATAAGGCATAAAGAACAAAAGCTATTTAAATCACATCATGAAGATCAAACGAACTTGGTTCTCCTCTAATGACAAACTAGTCATATAAGAGCAGGGGTTTTATAGTTAACTAAACCCATAAAAAAAACATCTTTGTAACTTGAAATAAAATAAACATAGAATACTGAAATAACACGCTTACCAGACATTTGGATCTCTGACTTCATCTTTTGCGGCTCTGGGTCCTGAGTAGCTCCTTTACTCTCCTGGTTAATCTGTCCTGGTTGGTTATCTGTGTTCTTTTCACATGGCAAACCCATTTTTTCGCCTTTATGCTCGCCCAACTTCAGGGCAGCTGCTGCCATTAATACCTGTTCTTTCACAGAACTACTCCGAGCACAGTCTAGAAGTAAAGAAATGTGTTGATTTTATATACAATGGTTTAAAATCAAATGTGTAAAAAAATAAAGTATCAAACAAAAAATATATAGGCAATATAAGCATGCTCAAGCAACATTTCATCAATTACCATAATAATACAAACAAATACATATAAAAAAACAGGGCACTGTCAAGGCATCATGCATTTTCTGGTACTATTTTGTTAGTGTGATATTAGAATTGAATCAAATGTGTACAAAAATAGAATATCAAATAAAAAATATAGGCAATAAAAGCATGTTCAAGCAAAATTTCATTAAATACCATGATATTACAGAAAATACATTTCCAAGAACCATGGCATTGTCATGGTATCATACACTTTTCTGGTACTATTCTGTTAGTGTGATACTAAAATTAAATCAAATGTGTACAAAAATAGAATATCAAATAAAAATTAAAAATGTATAGGCAATATAAACAAAAATAGAAAATTCAATACCAAAACATACACTTTTCTGGTACTTTTTTTGTTAGTATGATACTAAAATTGTTCACAAATAGTAATCCACGCATGCGCAAAGTACCGATGACAGGCGACGTGACAACACAACATTGAGCTTACTCAGGTTATGCCAAACAATAATTACTCAAGTAACGTTAATTTAAATCTCATACAAGCAAAATAAATAATTAAATACATTTGACATTACATTGTAAAAAGTTAAAAACTGGTTTAAATAGCACGTTATATAGGCTACTGCCTTGAGTTGATGGATGTTCCTTCTCCTTCAGAAGTCCATTATATTCTAAAAAATAACTTTATAATAAGAAACCCTTGCTTCCATAAAGCACAGGAAAGACTTGGGCTTTTTCTCTACACTGACAGCTTTTAACAGTGGCTCAGGCTGATCGTCCACTCTTTCCTTCAACCATACGGTCTGCGATTCACGCGGGTTCGAATCCAACTCACCTGACACAATGAAAGACTCACTGCCGTCAGACGCCCGCTGGGTACAATCTGCCCGATCCCGATTTAAATTAAAACACTAGTATTCAAATGTGCTGTACAGAAATATGCTGCTTTTCTAGGAAACTCCTCAGCTAAAGCATTTTTGACATATTAGCTAGCCGCCGCCATGTTTTAAGGGTCGCCCATGACCTCGTTTGCTCATTACCGCCCCCTATCCAACACTGACACCAGAGAGGTTTTAAATATGTGCGTGATCCCGCCTGACCACGAGGTGGTGTCAATGTGGTCAAGCACGTCAAGCACAGTAGAGTGCTTTACTGCCATATGTACACGTGCACGCTTTTACAAAAACAACATACACACCTTCATCTTATCCTCTGCCATTTGCAGAAGTAATTGGTGATCTTTTTCAAATCTTAAAATGTATGCATAACAAGAAAGCTGTGTAATCTTTTGGAGGTGTATTTAGATGATTAATCATGTGCAAAAATTCTGTTTTGAGTTGTATTCATTTTACATTTTATAGTAGTTATGGTTTTAATGGATATGTTGGAAGTGTTTTTTGTTTACATGTTTTGAAATTCATTCAAGCAAAAAAGAAAAATCCCCACATAGGTAAACACACACACACTTGTATATGTGGTTTATGGGGACACTCCGTAGGCATAATGGTTTTTATACTGTACAAACAGTATATTCTATCCCCTTACACTAACCCTACCCCTAAACCTATCCATCACAGAAAACTTTTTTTTTTATTAAAAAAATGCTAAAGCACACACACACACACACACACAGACAAAATAGTCACAAGCTAACATATAAACATTTATTTGACTTGATTAGTGAAATGTTAAGCACATTTACACTGGATTAATCCTACCTATTTGACATTTGTACGGCATTTTTACTTTGTGCATATGTGTGCATGTATATTTAAAAGATTCTGTTTTCATAAAGACAGATGTGGTTTTCTAAAACTTTAAAAGAGATTTGTGTCTTACAAAAAATAATGATGTATCTCTGTAGACAAGCTCATTTTGGGTCATTTTAATCAACACAACAGCTTCTGAACTAATTTTCTTCCCCTAGCATCCAGGAACACTTATTCTAAAGCACAATGTAACTTCATACTGAAAGGCTAATGCAGATCACTGTCAGAATCACACTTGATATCACAAAAAACAGCAGCATTCATGAACATTGTAACATGCATCTGTTTTAATAAGTCGGTCACTGGTCTAGTGTAAAACTTAGAGGTGCGGCGCATGAGACAGAGCTACTACATTCATACATAGATATACTTATTTAAAATATTTTATTCCAAAAATGAAATAAACAATAAAGTCAAATTGTGATATTACTTTCTTTAAGAGAAGTTTTAAAATGTTTGCTGTGGCCTTTCAATATATGAAGCTCTTCCTGTCAATAAAAAGGGAAACACAATTCTACATCCTACAAGTACAAACACTACCGTTTGCATTTGTTGGAGTTAATAAGATTTTTTTTTTTTTTAAAGAAAAGAATACTTTTATTCAGCAAGGAGGCATTACATTGATCAAAAGTGACAGTAAAGACATTTATAATGTGCTGATCTTTTGAGCTTTCTATTCATCAAAGAATCCTGAAAAAAAAAAAACATCACGCTTTCCACAAAATTAATAAAAAAAGTTGATAATAACAAAAAATGTTTCTTGATCAGCAAATCAGCATATTAGAATGATTTCTGAAAGATCATTGTGACACACTGAAGACTGGAGTAATGATGCTTAAAATTCAGCTTTGCCATCACAGGAATAAATTACATTTTAAAATATATTAAATAGAAAACAGTTATTTTAAATTGTAATAATATTTCACAATATTATTATTTTATTTTACTGCATTTTTGATCAAATAAATACAGGCTTGGTGAGCAATTGATAAGAGACGATTCATTCTAAAAACATTTAAAAAAATCTTACCGACCCCAAACTTTTGAACGGTAGTGTATCTCTTTATTCTTTGGAGGTAAACACAGGAGAAATTTCATTTTGTAAAAGGAGCAGGAATGATTTATGAATGAACTCCAGGTCTCTGGCTGGACGCAGGCTTTGTGAGGGGCCTTCTGAGGGCCCATTGGTCCCCTGCCTCTGACTCGCTGCTGGAGCTCTCGCTGCTGCTGCTGCCGCTCGGACTGTCACTGCCGCTGAACTCATAGCAGTCTTTCTCCTGTCCGCTTTCTTTCTCCTTCCGTCTGTTTCGCCCCTCCTTCCTCTTTATTTCCACTCTTCCAGGGATTGCTGTTCCACTTGACATGGGCATCGCTGACGTCTGTCTGTCCTGCCAGGTGTTGGATACCTGGGGAAAACTGAGGGCTGGATCTGGTGAGGGAAGGTCTGGAGGCTTCATGGAATCTTCCTTCAGCTGAGTCTTATGCAGTTTATCTAACTTTGAACTCTTAGACTTGGAGCGAACAACAAACCAGTCCTGTGTAAAATGATAACAGTGAAAATATCTGTTATAAAATGTATTAAGGAGCATAAAATTAAAGGTATTGTGTTACCCAGTGTTATTTTACTATTTTCATATTCAGTATATGAATACTCTTTTGAGTATTCAGAAAAGCGCTTCAAATAAAATGTATTATTATTATTATAACAATTTACCTGAGAATGAATGGAATTGATGTGGTACTTGACTCCGCTTTCAGAGTTGAATTCTTTCTTACATATCAAGCATTTATACTTCCCAGTCTCAAATTCACCCTGCAGAGAAGAAAAAAAACTTCATATCTTCATAAATGAATCCTGTTCCAGAGCCAATTATGAACAAGAAAAATAATTATTAGAAAAACATTGATTCAGGTAATAAATAAAAAGGCAATAGTTATTTAGTTTCAATTAAACTGCAGATAGTTAAAAAAATACACTCAAAAGTTTGGGTTTGGTAAGATTTCATTTCAGTCAGAAAGGATTCATTAAATCGATCAATAGTGAGAGTATAGATATTAATAATGTTACGGAAGATTTCAATTTCAAGTTTCAAATAAATGCTGTTCTTTTGAAATGTATATGCAATCCAGAAAAAAAGTATCATGGATACTTATAATTATAGAAGTATCTATGTAATGATAATTATGTAATTATACTTATAATTATTTTTCTTGTTTGATACTTTGCTAATAATAAGAAATGTTTCTTGAACAGCAAAACAGCATATTAGTATGATTTCTGAAGGATCATGTGACACTGTATAATGATAATAATGATGCTGAAAATTCAGCTTTTATATCACAGGAATAAATTCATTGCATTTTAAAATATATTAAAATAATAAATATAAATAGTTATTTTAAGTTGTAATAATATTTCAGAATATATTTTTTTACAGTGTAAAAAAAACAAACACATACCGACACCAAATATTTAGTGTATAGCAGTGTATAGTATTGCGGCAATATATAAGAATTTATTCCATTTGATATAACAAATATCCTGTAATGTAAGCAGTATGTACATGTCTTAAAACAAAAGGGAAGTCATTCCTACCAAGGTACACAACCCAAGATGAGCCTTTAGACCAGATACGCTGGTATAGAAGCAGCCACATCCCTAAAATGACAACACAGATCACATTTGGTACAGCAAAACCAATCATTCACTAAAAATCTTTCCTTTTGCATAATGCTACATTCATGCCACCAATGCAAAACATATGCAAAACTTGAATGAATGCACCTTTAAGTTTAACATAATGGTGAAAACTTATAACAGAACAATAACAGTTTATGCATGATGTTCACACCTTGTTGGGACACTGCACTTTTTTATGCAGTTTGACTTCATTCTTCCACTTCCGAAGAGTCTCCTGGCTGAAGGCAGGCAACCCTGGACGAGAATACTTCAGCTACAAGAACAAAAAAATACCATAAATGCCTACAAAAATGAATGAAATGACAATTCGTCATTCACAGTTCTGTCAGGCAGCACCTTCCTGTCGTCTGGTACCAGGTCACGCTGGACTTTCCTTTTGGGCCATTCCTTCAGCAGCTCCTCACTGGCGATCTCCCTCAGGTGGAACACGGCCACCTGCGCCGACAAGCGTTTGGCCCGTCCGCTCGGTGTACGCTCTGGGACGGGCTCTTTCTGTGTCTTTACTTCCTCTACTTCAATTTCTTGGTCCACCTGCAACAGATAATGGTGCCTTATTTGCAGAAACTTCAACAGCCTAAATGAGAATCAATCATGTCAGAAGAGATAAATGTTTATTCATACAACTGAATAATGGGTGGGAAGACTAACCGGACCGTGCTCGTTCTTGAGGTGGTACTCCAGACCCGCTCTAGAACGATACGCTTTTCCACAGTGCTTACAGTTCATTAACAGTTTCTCCAGTTCTGACGCCTCTTTGCCACATTTCTTCATATGATACACGTAACCCATTATACTAGTAAAACTTCCAGTGCAACCCTAAAGAACAACAACATTCATTTAAGAATGGTACAACAGCAGTAATTCTAAACATCCACAATGCTATATAGTCATTATTTTTATGACTATTTTTATTTATTATATTTTTTATATTTTCCACTTTTTCTCTACTGTTGAGTCGATAAGATTTCTTTTGGTAAGAATTATCGTGCTTAGCAAGGCCGCATTTATTTAATAAAAAATACAGTAAAAGAGTAATATTGTGACTATTATTACAAATTAAAATAACTATTTTCTATTTTAATATATTTTAAAAAGTATTTTTTCCTGTTATGGTGAAGCTGAATTTTCAGCATCATTACTCCAGTCTTTAGTGTCACATGATCATTCATTAATCATTCTAGTATGCTGATTTGCTGCTCAAGAAGCATTTCTTAATATTATTAATGTTGAAAACAGTTCTGCTGCTCAATATTTTTATGATTATGTTTTTTTATGATTGAAATTTTTTCATAATGTATTATTTACCATGATTAATTACAGCATTTATTTGCAATAGAAATCTTTTGTAACATTATAAATGTATTTACTGTAACTTTTGATTCATTTAATGTGTCCTTGTTAAATAAAAGTATTTTATCTTTTATTTAAAATAAATCTTACTGACTTTTTACACTTTTAAACTGTCATGTACTTTATTTTCATTTTCTTGTTTATTACTAATACCTTTCCATTTTTAATATGGTGACCTGTACTTTAAACGATAATGATAATAATAATAATAATGTTTCATTAATAAAGCGTCTTTCCTAAGCTCAAGGTCGCTGTACAGGTATAGTATTTTGTATATATACTATAAAAATAAAAATGATGTTTTATGCTATCGCATAATTAAAATCTCCAAAAATGTTCCATGCAGCGCTGTATCAGTATCAAATTATTTTATTACATTTTAATTGTAAAATATGACCACACCTCTTTTGAACATTTTAATTTCCCCATCCTCTTTAGTACTTTCCGTAGTTTCTCCTTCACTGCTTGGTCAACTAGGTCATTCCCAGTATCTGGAATGGGCTGAAAAACCAACAAGAAAAAAATCTTGAAATCAACACTATCACGCTTTTCATTGTCAATGTCTCTCTCTCTCTCTCTCTCTCTCTCTCTCTCTCTCTCTCTCTCTCTCTCTCTCTCTCTCTCTCTCTCTCTCTCTCTCTCTCTCTCTATATATATATATATATATATAAACTAACCAAGTTGTTGTGGTCAGCCATGAGGTGGTACTTCATTCCGGTTGAAGTTTTCAGTTGTTTCTCACAGTGTGGACATGTAAAAGGATTCTACAAAATCAGGTTTAGAGCTCAAACAAGTGCTAGAAAATCATGAAAACAATGATTAAAAAAAAAAAATAATTGTTACAATATATGCACGTACCAGTTTGCAGGTTTCCAGGTGCTTCTTTAACCCATCCACTGTCTTTCTTCCAACACTTTTGCATTTTGGGCAGGTCACTCTACCCTTCGCCAAAATCTGCAGCTGCCATTTCTCCTCCTGACTTCCTGTAAAGAAAGGCACCACAAAAACTTTTTTTTGAATATTCAAAAATATCGGTTTGTATCATTTTCATTTAGCCTGAACAACCACCCCTTTTACCTGGTGGATAAACAGGCGACTCTTTCTTGGTGCACTGAGATGATTTCTGCTCCTGCGTGCTGACAGTTATCTGATTCTTGTGAGTGAACTGAGCAACAGGAACTATAACAGGTACTGTTAAAGAAAAAAGATACAGTCTGCACTTTTCACATTTTATCATGTGGATTATTGAAGAAAAACAAAAGTATTTCATACCTGTTTGCTTTACTTCCTCAATGTACTTTTTTAAGGAGGGTGTGTGAGCTTCAATCTTCTGCTTCTTCGATTTAAAATCTGTGGTATAAATACTACTTGTACTCTTGGACATTATCTAGACTGTCATATATACATTTATTCTACTTAAAGGTTTAGTTCCCTCAACAATTTTAATTCTGTCATTAATTTCTCACCCTCATGTCGTTCCAAACCCGTAAGACTTTAGTTCATCTTTGGAACACAAATTAAGATCTTTATAATGAAATCTGAGAGCTTTCTGTCCCTCCAATGACAGCTACACAACTACCACTTTGACACTTCAAAAAGTTAGAGATCATAAAACTAATCCATATGAATTGAGCGGTTTAGTCCATATTTTCTGAAGAGACTTGATCACTTTATATGATGAACAGATTTAATTTAGGCTTTTATTCACATATAAACATTCATCAATGCACCAAGCATGTTTACTTGACGTGCGAGAACCAATGAGATTTATTCGTTGGAACGGCATGAAGGTGAGTTAATGATAATTTTTGGGTGAACTAACCCTTTAATGATGATAATTTTTGGGTGAACTAACCCTTTAAATATCTGAAAGTCTGTACTAACCTGTTTCTATTAAAGTATCTGAACTGGATCCATCAATTTCCCCCATCATTCTGCTGGTGTGGTCAGTGTGCATATGTTGGCTTTCCAAACCATTGATTAGACTGGATGCGATAACGGAACTGGAAGATGACCCATGGCCTGAATCCTCTGAAGGTCTCATAATCACAGGCTGGAGATCATGATACCTTAGGACATGAAATTTTGACACCATTACTAATCCATTATGTGGATTATGCATGAAATTTACTACTGCAAAGCAGAAAATGTACTACTAAATGTCATGCATGAACACAAGTGAACACACGAAACTCACTTTTTTCTGGAGTAAGTTCTCTTTATTTTCTGAGAGCTTGTCCCCTCATTCTGAAATGCAATAACACAAATGCAATATACAATTAGTTCTGATGGTGTCATGTTTCATTTGAATAATTACCTAATGTTATGACTGTTATAAACATGCTATGAATGTTTGAGATTATGATTGTTCTTTTTTCCCTCTTTTTTGTAGATCTGATCGGAACGTGACTTAAGCTTATCATAGCACCTTATTTCAACGATGTGCGGTTGCTAGTCGGGGCTGCTGCTGAGCTACTTTACCAGAACTGCACTTCAGGTTTGGGGTTGTTGTTTCTGTTTCACATTCATGCATTTGTCCAGAAAACTTTCTACAGTTATCCATGCATTTATTTGCAGTCACAACTCACTAACATTACAGATTACTGATATTTTGATTATGTTGTCTTAATCATTTTCTGATGTAATAAATTAATAGATATGCGTGTGTCACACCTGGCTCAAAGATGCAACATTAAGGGTAGACGGCACAGCTGAATAAGCTCAAAAAAGAATTTATTACATCAGAAAATGTAGTTTACAGGCCCAATCAGACCTACAAAAAAAAAAGAGAGAAAAAAACAAACAGCCAGAACCTCAAACGCAATAATAAATGGAGCAATTCCAAAAGGGTAACCTAAGAACTGGGTCATAACACTAAATATATACACTGGCATATTGATGCACAACTCAAGGTGAGGATGCTTGGTCTTACTTTGGATGGTTTCATTCCACTACCTTCAGCCTCTTTTCCCAAATCCTTTATGAAATCTGTTGAAGGCACAATCAACCGTGTTGAATCGATTCAGTGTCGGGTAAGTTACTCTAAAAAAGTAATTAAATAGTAGCTACAAATGACATCTTTAACAGTGTAATTAGATTACTGTACTTTTTACTCTCTCAAATTTTTTTTTTCCTTACTCTTTACTTTCTAAATCCCATATGTACCCTGGATCAGTTGAACAATGCACTTTTAATTCTTTGGAATAAATAATATAAAATTGTTAAAATTATTTTTGAACTGAAGGTTACATTGAAAACATACATTTTAAAATTAGACGTTAAATTTAGATGTTAAATCCACTATTGCTTGATAGAGAATTGTTCTATAGTCTATATAGTAATTAATGCAATTACATCAGAAGTAACTCATTAAACTACAAAGAAATTATAGTAGCCTAATCCCTTACTTTACTTTTTCAAAATTAATAATTACTTATTACACCCAACACTGAATCGATTTATAATAAATTAAGAACAAATAAACTTTCTAAATGATGTAACTGTAATTGATTGTTTTTACAGATAAAAAATTAATAGATCCCCAGCCCTATATTGTAAATTTATTTAGTTCCTGTAGCTCAAACCTCAGTCCATGGTGGTGCTGCTAGCAAAGACAAGGTCATGGGTTCGATTCCCAGGGAACGCAAGAACTGATTAAATTTTGTACTTTAAATGCAATGTAAGCCACTTTGAATAAAAGTGCCTGGCAAATGCTTATATAAATGTTTATTTATCTAATCAGAACAGACTTCACAATCACGTAATTATGATCTGCGAATGCCATCACTTCAGAATAAGGGTTTACAAAGTTTAGTGTTTAATCTCAGACTAATGAAGAATTACCTGGTTTTGGGGGGTTTAGTTTTGGTCTTGGCATTTTCCTCTTGCTAGGTACACATATGGCAGACATGTTACCCTGGGTCTGATGACTCTGATCCATCCTATTACACACAAACCATGGATAGATACAGAGAGGCATGGGTAGGAATCTACTACTAATTCTCTACATTTTTACTTTATCATCATCAAAAACAAATAAGCAGCAGTCACATATAGGTAAGCTCCTATGTGGAATTTCATTATTTCATTAATTCAATGTCCCCCAAACAGGCAAGCAGATTCTGGTTGTACTAAGTATCTGAGAATAAAACACATTTGCATGCATGGACTAACCCTGTATTTGCACAAAGAAGCTGAAAGCTCCCTATGCACCTTTATTGCAGAGCATAACTGTAGTATTCCAGATCACTGCCACCATCACATTCACTGCCCACCAATATTTCCAGCCAAAAAAGGACGCATGACGGCACTACGTCAAATAAACCCTACACGGATGCACCCGACCGTCAAATAATTCACATGACATCGAAATACAATAAACTTTCAATTTGAAGGGGCATATCCAACACTCAATGTTCACAAAACAACCAAGAGTACTAGCTATAGCATACCGACGACAACGTCCTCTCGGCGAGATCGCTTCATGAACACGCCTCCTTTCCTGACCAGCCAATGAGAACGCGCCTTGCCCACCCACACACCAAAAGGGGCGGATCTCACTTCAGAACAACCTATCTCTGAGACTACAGGTCCCAGATCAGATTTTGACACGCCTGTGTTGTTACACTTAGCTACGGTTGCTACCCCTTCACTGAATCGGAGTCAGTTTGCATACTGAATTTATGCAATATAGTTTTTATCAACATCAACTTTCGGTTTCAGTACAGCAGAAATGAGCAGCTCAAGGTCTTCTTGGTTTCCGTGGATCCCAAACACACCATGGGGGTTCACCAAAGAAAAGGTAAGCTACAATAAACAAACATTTAAAATCTGTCATGAACTATAACTAATAATCCAAAATACGCTCTTGTTGCTCCAAAGGTGCTAGGAAGGAAGTGTTTATAAAAGGGTGCTTGTGTCAGTGTTAATAACTGTAATCTTTATTGTCATATGTTTAAGGGGGGCAGAGCTCTCCGGGAACAAATCAAAAGAATATCTGGGTCTACTGTCCTAGATGGTATGTCTCACCTGATAATAATGTTTCTAATGACATTTATTTGGTCACACCCCCATGACAAATGTAAAAAGCTCCTGCAGTGTGACATGCTACATCATTTCCACCTGTTTCTAGATGCAGATATTGATGATGCTCAAGTTCTTACTTTGACAAGAGAGGATCTGAATGAGCTTTTTCCAGGTATCAGGAACTTTCAGCTCCGAAGGACCATTATGGTGCTTATCACAGACACAGTGAAGGTAATGTCTGCGCTCAAGAAGCTGGTGGAATTGAACTTCAGTGGCCCCCCAAAATATTCACACACTCCTAAAAGTGTAGGAATTTTATGGTATTAGATAACACTAATTCAAGTTTAAAGACATGCAAACAAATGATGCTAAACCTTTCCTCGGAACTAACTTTTTTGAAATGCTTTTTTAACCAACCAGTACCAAAGCCTATTTTGGATGAATGTTTGAGGCCACTTATTCTAAACTGTATGTAAGTTCACACAGGTGCAGTTCATTACGTTAAATAGGAACATGTTCCACCAATGTTTGACAACCAGAAGGCATCCAAATTAATATTTTCAACTTGTTTAAAGGGATAGTTCACCCCAAAATGAAAATTGTCATCATTTACTCACTATCATGTTGTCCTAAACCTGTATGAGTTTCTTTCTTCTGTTGAACACAGAAGATATTTTGAAGAATGTGGGTAACCAGACAGTTGACGGTGCCCATTGACTTCCATAGTATTTTTTTCTCTCTACTATGGAAGCCAGTGGCTACTGTCAACTGTCTGCTTACCAGCAAGTATCTGTGATTTATTGACTGATTTTTTTTTTTTATTCCTAAAAGGATTCGCTTCGATCTGGCCCAGAAACATTTGCCGGAGCACTGAAGCATTTAATGGACAAAAACAACAGCAGTGAGTAACTTATAACCCCCACTATTTTTTAAGTTGTAGCAGACTAAGGGACTTTTTGTTGTTGTAAAAGAGACGTTTCATAGCAGTCTTCCAACTTTCTCCCAGATGATGCTGCTGTTCAGGATGTTTTGAAGGAGTCTCTTCGAGCTTTTAGAGAAATGGAGGAGCAGCTCAAAGCAACACAGGCATCTCTGAAACCATACATTGAGGTCTTGAACAGTCTCACTGAGGCATCAGCTAGAAAAGAGCACTGGGATACAGAAGGAACTTCAAGCAGGAGAAAAGTTCCAAGCTCATCCCAAACAGATTTAAACTCTCCAACCATAAAGACTCCCTATCGTGAGTAACAGTTACAATTCAAAACCTTTTTATATTTCAATTAATAATTAAATATACTGTACATTACATTTATCAAAATACTAAAAGAACTTCTGGGTCCCACTTTTTATTCCCACCCTATTATATTTCTTTCTATTTTGCAGAGCCTCTAGTCAAAGTGCATCCACTTATCTGTGGCCAAACCTTGGGAGCTGACAGGGAAATTTTTGGACTGCTCAAGGGAGTTACTGTGAGTGAATTAAGGGACTGTAAGTTGATACTGGTCTTCTGTCCCATAGCATCACGAGCTGGAACTGACATTGAAGATGCATTGAGGAAAATTCCAGGTAATTATTCATAACGCTTTTGAGAGGAATGTAGCCAATTTACGACAAGGTTAATGTCAATATATCCAGAAACATGTATAATGTACAATACAGTTGTCCTAGAAAGCACTGTTTTAATCAATGGTTAGGGAACTAGTCTGTAAACGCTAATATCATAGGTTCAGTCCTTCATAGACATTCCTGCGTAATTATAATGCCAATTCATTTTTATTTTGTTTACCTTCACAGCTGATAAACCAGCAGTCCTGGTGATAATGTACCATACCTTCAACACTAACCATGTGTCCCCCAGCTTTAATATGACATCTTCTCAAGTGAACATTGTGGAACATGTTAACATGCTCTTCCATGACTCACAAGGCGGTCTTCTGAAATGTTCAGCAAATGAACTTTCAATTACCAAACTTCAGTCTGTCTTAAACCAGTACATGTAAACAGTCCCGCCTCGAAAAAACTCTTAAAATGATGATTCAATGCATGTCTGTTATATGGTCATATGAATGGACAAAAACAACAAGTCTGCTAATAAACATTTAGGACTGGTTTGTTGATTCCAAAATTTTTTATATATTCAAACAATTTCAACACAATTTTAGTAAGAACGCCAATAGCAGGAAGATTAGAAAAAAGCTTTTTCCACCAATGCTGTGATATCATGCCAAAATGCTTTCTTCTAGTTCTCACCTTCTTGTAGGCACATTTAAATTCATGTACATCTCACACATCAGAGAAGTGATACCTCATGCCGTCATGATTAATAACCTGGCTTTTTAAAATGCAATATGAGAAGTTGCGTGTTTTTACAGGCTAAAACAAGCAAGCTTGTATCCAACCTACATAGATAACACACATTTGACTGTAGCAGGTGCATCAAAACCTGCGCTGATTTCGGGTCTTTTCCTCCGCGAACTTCTCTTTATCATACTTTGGCCTATATTGTGCGCATCATTTACAAATCACAAACCGAAAAAAGAAAAATAACCATTGTAATGCTTTCTCAAACAATATATGCATCCGAGTTAATATACTGATTTAGGGAGACGGTTCTCACAAAGGTAGTCCAGCAACCCGGAAAAAACTGTTGGCATGATTACGAAATGTTCTACAGCCAATCGCCATACGCGAGTAACCAGCTTTCCAGGTTATTGGAATTTCCGTAGGCACATAAATACATCCGTCTTTGCACCACACGACCATGGATAATCATGGATATTATTTCCCATTAACACACTCAGAGGGGAAAAACAAAAGCCAAAAACAAACATGTATGATGGTATGGTTGGGTCAGTCGAGACAAAAGTGCCATTTCGTTTACATTCGAGTGATTGGCCAGAGCATTTGGTGCTTTTTCAAGTGTCTTTTGTTTGAAAAGCCCTGTCACTGGCTTGGTCCTTTCTTCCGATTGCTCCAGTAATTGTTGTAGGCCTTGTTGAACATGTTCTTGCAGCTGAGCTTAGCATTCAGGCGGGAGCAGATGAGGAAGGAGCCGCCCATTTTGCGATGCAGGGAGTAGGTTTCTTCTGGTGGAGGGATGAGCCGCTGTTTCAGCATGACAGGGATGAGGTTGTGGATGCGCTCCGTGGTGCTCTGCGCCCCGAAGTCAAAGGGCTCCACAGAGGCAAAAGCCTCGCCCAGGATCATCACCGCATCCACGTGGGCGTTCACCATGGCCTGGATGAGGAGAAGAGGTTGTGTAAACACATGACTGTCGTGTGTGAAGCCCCGAACACAAAATATCAGGGTGCTATTTTCCTACCTTAGTCTCATAACCAGTTAAGAACTTCATTTCTATGGATTGCTTCAGCACTCCTTCTCTATCACCCTCTGATGCAGCCTTGATGATCTGTTTTAAAGAGCAAGATACAGCAAGTTTAAGAAAGGAAATATTCATTATACATTCGTTTACCTTTTAAACTGCATGTTTACCTCGATATAAAGGTCAGTGAAACTCTCATCAAACCCCCTCGTTGCACCAAAGTCCAGCAAAGCAACCTGTGGATTGAAGAACAGCTTGATTATAAAAAAAAAAAAAAAAAACAACTTATACTTTTGATTTACTGTACAAAATGGTTCAATTGAAATACATTTAAAAACAAATACAATAAGAAATTATACACTAATAATCTAATTATTAATACGGATGCATTAAATAAATCAAAAGTGACAGTAAAGCCTTACAAATTAATTATTTAAAAAAATAAAATAATTTAAAATAAATGATGTCCTTTTGAACTTTCTATACATCAAAGAGTCCTGAAAAAAATGATCACCGTTTCCACAAAAATAATATTGTTTCTTAAGAACCACATCAGCATATTAGAATGATTTCAGAAGGATCATGTGATGCTGAATACTATAGTATTCAAATTTACATATATATATATATATATATATATATATATGAAAATAAAATAGTACAGTCATAAAAACCTATTAAAAGTGTGAAAGTATAGGAATAACAGAGAATAAAACAAATCTAAACTATCTTATATTTCAGTTTCCAGTACCAAAAGTGCATGTACACTTTCTGGTTGTGTAAGTAACTAGGAAAGATCAATGAATGATCATGACACTCTTACTTACCCTGTGGGTTTGCGGATCATAAAAGAAATTGGACCAGTTGGGATCCGTCTGCATGTATCTGAACTCAAAGAGCTCCCTCAGACACAGGGTCAAGATATTCTCGCAGATCTGAGCATCAATAAGAAGTGTGGTTACGACACATGCACTGGACTGCTATAAATTCACAGTATTTATGCATTAAAGCATTTGTAGCACTTAACATAAAGTAATAGATCAGTTCTAACTCAAAACAAAAAACAGTTTGAACCCACTGTTTACAAACTACATGACTGATGCAGGCTTAAATCATACTTAAATTGTCGGTTTAAAAAATTCAATCACATTTACTGTCTTCATTTATGTCAGTCAGTGTACAGCATTTGGTCAACACATTTTATTTATTTTAAACTTAATTCCTTAACTTTTTTGGTATGGACATGGCCTTTTTTCAACTTTGCCCTACTAATGCAAAATAAATACTTCCACCAGCAGGTGGTGATCATGCTCCAGGAAGCCCATGAGACCATGTGACACTTCATAGCATATAATGTGGCCTGATACCACAACAAATTTAAATGTGCCTTTACTTATATAACTTGCTAAACAGTATGATATATGCAAGTTACTGAAATGAGTAAACTGAAAATATGTTTTCCAGCCCAATAGGGTAGCAGCCAATTCATAATACAATATTGTAATAGTAATATTTATAATATTTTTATATTATAAAATAACGCTTACTGGACTGAAGCAGCTTAGGTTTACTTGATTATCCATACAAACTTTTTAAGAAAAATCATTTTAAAATGTATCAAATATGATACATCAGGCTTTCAAGGAAAGTTCATGTGTACATCTCTCAATCATCGTTGTTGAATTGAATTATTTGCTTTGCCCCCACAATAAAAACGACAGAGCATTGATCATAAAATTAACCATTTAAATATCATCTTACTAAGACACATTATTGGGAGCTATAAAGTGACAACTGATATTTATATGCATTTTATGCAGGTAGTTTGCTATACAGTTATAAAGATCTCATTGATTTACATTACAAGCCATTAGAATTTCATCTTACGTACTAGCCATATACATATCAGCAAATTGCGTATTTTGCTTAGTTTGGGCCTCTAAATAAAACTTGTGTTTGTCCTCCTCGAGTATGAGCTCCATATTCTCCTATATCATCCTATATGAGCCATAAAAGCCTGAGGTATCAAATATGATACTCAACAAAAAAACACACATGCAAACCGTTTTTTAAAATAGATTTAAAAATAAATATTTTGTCTAATGGTTCAATAAACTTCCTTTTAATTTTTTTTTTGATTTTCTGGCTATTAGTTAATTCGTCAGTCTTTACAGGGTTACTGGTTTAACAGCACCAGTGAATACCTCATTTTTCAGCTCTTGTGACAGTGCGTCAGCCTGATCCAAGGGGAACCCAGGCACCAGTTCGGTGGTGAGAACGTGCTGGCCGCTGAATTCGTCGATTACCTCTGGCACGTAGAAGAAGGGGTGATCCTTCAGTAGTTCCCTGCCAAAAACCACAAAGCTTCTGAGTCACTGAGCACAAGCAAGCAATCCCGTAAAAGCGTGCCATCCCGCACGTGCACCACAGACAGGACGTGCTGATGAACACACGCACACGTCTGGTCTGAGGGATGTGGGAAAAGCCGTGATGCTATTCTCTGGCTGTGAGGAATTCCCAAATAGAGCCTAAAATTTGGTACGACAGCTTGAAATTGCAGCTTGCTAAGCAATAAGGGGTACTTCAGCTTTGAATTGAGTTTATAGCAGCACTAGATTATAGTCAAGCTAGCAATTTGAAAACGCATCTAGCTACACTAAAAGGTCGTAGAAGTTAGAAGACGTTAGAAGTTTTCTAACTATAGGTAGGTTTCTATATTGATGAACATATGAATTTCAGAAAAGGTGTTATGGTTCTTGCTGATTCAGCACGTAGAGCTTTGGGAGGAATTATTGGTAAAAGTAAGAATCTGAAAGATATAAGGTTTCAAACTTATTCTAAACTGTTTTAAGCTTGTGTGTGCCCTATACTTGATTATATTGTGGGGGTTAGAGGACTTAGAAACATATCTAATTGTGAATCAGTGCAAAATAGTGCCATAAGATGTGTACACAAATATGCTCCAACATTGGCGATAGTGGGAGACATGGGATGGGAATCACGTGAGGCCCGTTGGAAGATATGTATGGCGCGGTTATGGAATCGTTTATTAGATTTGGACGCAAGTAGGTTGACGAGGAAAATATTTCTCTGGGATAAACACAATCTTGGTCCTTGGTCTAAAGATATATGCGAGATAAGATATATATATATATAACTGTTTTGTAAATATGGGTTTGGTGAGTTGTTTTCTAATAATGAAAAGCTGAATATTGGTTTGTTTAAAGAAATGTTTACAGTAAAAATAATTGGATTAGTTGAATCTTACTCTATTGGCATATACACTCACCGGCCACTTTATTAGGTACACCTGTCCAACTGCTCGTTAACACTTAATTTCTAAGCAGCCAATCACATGGCGGCAACTCAGTGCATTTAGGCATGTAGACATGGTCAAGACAATCTCCTGCAGTTCAAACCGAGCATCAGTATGGGGAAGAAAGGTGATTTGAGTGACTTTGAACGTGGCATGATTGTTGGTGCCAGAAGGGCTGGTCTGAGTATTTCAGAAACTGCTAATCTACTGGGATTTTCACGCACAACCATCTCTAGGGTTTACAGAGAATGGTCCGAAAAAGAAAAAACATCCAGTGAGCGGCAGTTCTGTGGGCGGAAATGCCTTGTTGATGCCAGAGGTCAGAGGAGAATGGCCAGACTGGTTCGAGCTGATAGAAGGGCAACAGTGACTGAAATAACCACTCGTTACAACCGAGGTATGCAGCTAAGCATTTGTGAAGCCACAACACGCACAACCTTGAGGCGGATGGGCTACAACAGCAGAAGACTC